CCCCCCCCCCCCCCCCCCCCCCCCCCCCCCCCCCCTCCTCTCTCTCTGTGGATGACTTCGTCAACCACTTTGAAAAGAAGGTTGACGACATCCGATCCTCGTTTGTTAAGTCTAATGACACTGCTGGTCCTACTCACACTGCCCTACCCTATGCTTTGACTTCTTTCTCCCCTCTCTCTCCAGATAAAATCCTGCGACTTGTGACTGCAGGCCGCCCAACAACCTGCCCGCTTGACCCCATCCCCTCCTCTCTTCTCCAGACCATCTCCGGTGACCTTCTCCCCTACCTCACCTCGCTGATCAACTCATCCTTGACCGCTGGCCATGTCCCTTCCGTCTTCAAGAGAGCGAGAGTTGCTCCCCTTCTCAAAAAACCAACACTCGATCCCACTGATGTCAACAACTACAGACCAGTATCCCTTCTTTCTTTTCTTTCCAAAACTATTGAGCGTGCCGTCTTTAGCCAACTCTCTTGCTATCTCTCTCAGAATGACCTTCTTGATCCAAACCAGTCAGGTTTCAGGACTGGTCATTCAACTGAGACTGCTCTTCTCTGTGTCACGGAGGCTCTCCGCACTGCTAAAGCTAACTCTCTCTCCTCTGCTCTTGTCCTTCTAGACCTGTCTGCTGCCTTTGATACTGTGAACCATCAGATCCTCCTCTCCACCCTCTCCGAGCTGGGCATCTCCGGCGCGGCTCACTCCTGGATTGCGTCCTACCTGACCGGTCGCTCCTACCAAGTGGCGTGGCGAGAAGCTGTCTCCGCACCACGTGCTCTCACCACTGGTGTCCCCCAGGGCTCAGTTCTAGGCCCTCTCCTTTTCTCCCTATACACCAAGTCACTTGGCTCTGTCATATCCTCACATGGCCTCTCCTATCATTGCTACGCTGACGATACACAACTAATCTTCTCCTTTCCCCCTTCTGATAACCAGGTGGCGAATCGCATCTCTGCATGTCTGGCAGACATATCAGTATGGATGACGGATCACCACCTCAAGCTGAACCCTGGCAAGACGGAGCTGCTCTTCCTCCCGGGGAAGGACTGCCCGTTCCATGATCTCGCCATCACGGTTGACAACTCCGTTGTGTCCTCCTCCCAGAGTGCGAAGAGCCTTGGCGTGACCCTGGACAACACCCTGTCGTTCTCCGCTAACATCAAGGCGGTGACCCGCTCCTGCAGGTTCATGCTCTACAACATTCGGAGAGTACGACCCTGCCTTACACAGGAAGCGGCACAGGTCCTAATCCAGGCACTTGTCATCTCCCGTCTGGATTACTGCAACTCGCTGTTGGCTGGCCTCCCTGCCTGTGCCATTAAACCCCTACAACTCATCCAGAACGCCGCAGCCCGTCTGGTGTTCAACCTTCCCAAGTTCTCTCACGTCACCCCCCTCCTCCGCACACTCCACTGGCTTCCAGTTGAAGCTCGCATCCGTTACAAGACCATGGTGCTTGCCTATGGAGCAGTGAGGGGAACGGCACCTCTGTACCTTCGGGCTCTGATCAGTCCCTACACCCAAACGAGGGCATTGCGTTCATCCACCTCTGGCCTGCTGGCTCCCCTTCCTCTGCGGAAGCATAGTTCCCGCTCAGCCCAGTCAAAACTGTTCGCTGCTCTGGCACCCCAATGGTGGAACAAGCTCCCTCACGACGCCAGGACAGCGGAGTCACTCACCACCTTCCGGAGACATTTGAAACCCCACCTCTTTAAGGAATACCTGGGATAGGATAAAGTAATCCTTCTACCCCCCCCCCCCCCCCCCCCCCCCAAAAAAATTGTAAAGTGGTTATCCCACTGGCTATAGGGTGAATGCACCAATTTGTGAGTCGCTCTGGATAAGAGCGTCTGCTAAATGACGTAAATGTGCCCTTGAGCAAGGCACTTAACCCTAATTGCTCCTGTAAGTCGCTCTGGATAAGAGCGTCTGCTAAATGACTAAAATGTAAATGTAAATGTAGTCACTTTTACCCCTACATACATGTAAATAATATTACCTCAATTACCTCGTACCCCCAGCACATAGATCCAGTACCGGTACTCCTTGTATACAGTATAGTATCGTTGTTTTATTCTGTTACTATTCCCATTTTTATTTTGTGCACATTTTTCTGACTTGATTTGACTTGTAAGCATACAACCGACACAAATATACTATACCTGTGTGGAGTCCAAAATATACAAAACAGTCAAACCTACAATAAATACACATTAAATATGCATGTTACTGTTTCAGTCCCACAGTAAAAAAAAAAGATTAAACAGAAAGTACAAAACAAAATCCCCCTCAAACCAAAACACATACACTTAACACACACTGTTTAAAGGCTTATTTTGCCATACCTTTCTCAGCTGGATGAGCCCTGTAGAAGTGCTCTTGCAGTGGTTTCTCATTTTGTGTGTAATCTGACACTGGATAAGGCAGCATCCACTTGCATGATTTCCTTTAGATCAAAATGGCCTTTTTCCCCTTTCTCCTTCGGTGTTACACCCCTACCCCTGCCTCTGAGTTGCTCTCTCACTTAGCATAGCCCCTTGCCTCTTCTTCCCAAGCAGCCAAAGAGCTTCTCCAAGTTTCTCCACAAACTTGTTTGAAAAAGGACTAGGCAGTCCCTCCCCTTTCAGCCTTCAGGCTTAAATGTTTTCAGTTATTCTCTCTTTTGCCTTCTCTCTCTCTCAAACACACACTCACTCTGACTATCTTCTCTTTCAATGATGTTGCCTCTCTCTCTCTCTTTCTCAAACTTTTGCCACCCCTCCTCTCATGACCCCCTCTCTCCCTCCCTATATTACCTCCCTCCCTCCTCCTCCTCTTCATTTCCATCATCAGCTAAGCTCAGCCCATACCCCCAACCCCCCCACCGCTGAACTAATCTGCAGCTGGCTGGGAGAATGGAGCCCTGGTTTCCGGGGAAACGGAGTGTCCTGCTCAAAAGAGGAATGGAGCAGGAAGGGGCAAAGCTGAGAATAACTGAAAACATAAATAAGGGCCTCCTCCGGGAGACAATTAAAAGCTCTGAAGGGCCTCTCTTCCTCTCTCTGAGGGGACAGTGGGGGCCTGGCTTTCCTGCCCTCCATTGACTTTATCTCTGATAGTAGCTTTTATTTACTGACCAGTGACCAGTCCACAAACTACCCAATAGAACCACAGCAGCAACATGTGTTTAATGCAATGTGTTTTGATAGCTACAGATGGCCCATTGTACCTCTGCCCTTACATATTGTTTATTTTTTATATAACCTTTATTTAACTAGGCAAGTCAGTTAAGAACAAATTCTTATTTACAATGACGGCCTACCAAAAGGCAAAAGGCCTCCTGCAGGGACGGGGGCTGGGATTTAAAAAATAAATATATATAAATATAGGACCAAACACACATCACAACAAGAGAGATAACACAACACTACATAAAGAGAGACCTAAGACAACAACATGGCATGGCAGCAACACACGACAACACAGCAAGGTAGCAACCCAACATGAAAACAACATGGTAGCAACACAACATGGCAGCAGCACAAGACATTGTACAAACATTATTGGGCACAGACAGCAGCACAAAGGGCAAGAAGGTAGAGACAACAATACATCACGCGAAGCAGCCACAACTGTCAGTAAGAGTGTCCATGATTGAGTCTTTGAATAAAGAGATGGAGATAAAACTGTCCAGTTTGAGTGTTAACATGGGATGGCAATGTTTTGGTTGATTTCAAGTAATTCAGTAATTACTGGTGAATGAATGGTTTTAAAGATAGTTTATAGTTACCTCACTAGATGACTGACATGTCAGACTCCCACTGTCTCAGAAAAAAAAGAGAGACAGATAGAGTGAAAATATAAGTTAGATGTGAGTCTGACATTTTGATGACAACTAAGGTTAACAAAGGCATAGGAGTGTATTTTATCATATCAGTAAAACATAACTACTTGTTTGGTTCAGTGGAGGCTGCTGAGGGGAAGACAGCTCACAATAATGGCTGGAATGGAGTCAATGGAATGAAATCAAACACATCAAAGACGTGGTTTCCATGTGGTTGATACCATTCCATTCACTCCATTCCGTCCTCCCCTCAGCAGCCTCCACTGGTGGGGTTATAGTCTCTCTGGGTTCTCAATGAGAGAGTTCAATGAGTTGAACTAGACTACCTTACCCTTTCCTAGGCTACCCATAAATATCAGTGACTCCAACATGGCATAGAACCAGAGGAGCAATCTCTGTGACCTGCAGGGCCAAGGTCTGACCTCTCCCTTTGAAGTGCAGGAGAGATTTGAAAAGCCTGTATTTCCCCATCAATGGCTGGGGGGACAGGGTAGGGGCAATAACATCTGTTTGGCGTTTCTCCTACCTTTTGTATGGCTAGATCTCCTTCCTCTGTCCCCTCTACTCTACAGCTGGGAGGTGGAGGCCCTCTGTCCAGAGACACACACCATGACTGGGAACGATACTCTCAGTTTTTGATAGATGAAGCCCTATCGATGACATTTACAATTAAATAATTTATCTAATGAAAATGCAAACACTTGGACAGCTATTCTAAGTACGGAAACCATTGTCTGTATCTCACCTTCTCCTGTGTCTCCCTCTTTTGGACACACCAACATCTGCACAGTGAATGTGTGAATTCCTGCAGAAAACATATATATTTTATCAAAAGTTTTTTTTTAACGTATCTACTAAGCTTAATGTATTGAAATAACTTAATAATGTCGGGAGCATATTACTTCACGAGGATTTTCCCCCCAACCCATTACATTATTATATGGATGTGGCTGTTGTTTTTTTATTAGGTGCCTATCGCTTTAAGACGTCAGCATCTGGGGTGTAATCATTACGCCAAATAGTTGCAGAACCTGCAACGAAAACTAGCGTTTCTATTGGACAGATTCGGGTCGGTCCCTCCCTGTTTGCTGAATATATTTAATAGAAACGCTAGTTTTTGTTGCAAAATAAAACGGTTTGCAACTGTTTGGAGTAATGATTACACCCTTGTAAAGTGACGTAAACACCCGGAAGTTGCAGGTTATTTCGCAATGACGTTTTCAATGAAAATACATGCTAGTTGAGGTTGACGTCTTCTATTGAATGATTGGAAAATATATTTGCTAGTGTTGAGCGTGCTGCATGTATGATGAAGCAAGGACATGCCGGTTTGATTCGTCACGTACTCATTTTGAGGTAATATGTGTTTACATGGCAATAGACTAGTCATATTATTAGCTAGCTAACGTAGCTAAGCAAGCCTCTGTATCACAGTTCAGCTACATAACCTAGGCTTAACGACTGTAGACCCTTAAATGAATGTCAAAATATACCTTGCAGTCCTTTGATACTAACTAGTTGAACTTACTTGGAATTCTTCTTGATTTGCAGTGGGACATGTTTTCAAAGAGGACATGGGTGGGCAATGTTCGTCCTCAGCTATGACGCATCTGTGGAATTGTAAGCACGCAGTTCTAAGGGGCAATGATTGGAAGCCAATCATCAATATCTGTCATCAATTGAAGCCATAATGTGGATAACTTCCAAACAGTAATAGCTATGTTTAGTCATTATTGTGAAAACTTGTGGACAATGTTTTATCTATAATTTTAGACTTATTTTAAATTGAGTGTTAGAGATATTATCATAGCTATGGCTGCATTGAGTGCCAGAAGCTTCCTCTTAAACCTAAGGTACACCGTCCATAGAGTTGGAAGTTCTGTAAGAGTCCGACTCATACCTAGCACCAGAACATGTCTTGTCAAAAGGGGCCAGATTTTAACCCAGATGCCAAAAGTCACCCTTCTGTGCTGGGGAGCAGTGAATGCCACATCCTGTGTGGCAAGATGCCAACAGGCCTCCCTGGCACCCCAGACTACAGACAGGAAGTCTGTAGCCAAAGTCCAGGTGCACAAGCTGGTGTTCTTCCTGCGCCTCAGCCTGCGCGCCCTGGTGTTACTCCTGAAGTTCGGCCCACTCCTGTTGCTCTATCCCCTGACTGTCATCTCCTCTTACTGGGCCTCTCGCTGGCTGGATGCCCTGCTGTGGGTCACTGAGACCTCTGGTCCTGCCTTTATTAAGCTGGGCCAGTGGGCCAGCACTCGCAGGGACATCCTCTCCCAGGACTTCTGCGAACGTTTCTCCAGGCTGCACGTGCGTGTGCGTCCCCACTGCTGGGCCCACACCAAGCAGTGTCTGCGCCGGGCATTCGGGGAGGGCTGGAGGAGGCTGTTTGTGTTTGAGGGCAGGGAGCCCGTGGGGTCAGGATGCGTGGCTCAGGTGTACAGGGGATGGGCCAGGGTGGACAGCGTGGAGGACCCAGCCTTCCAGGCCCTGGTGGAGGAGATGGAGAGAGAGGATATGCTGGAGGCCTGGGAGATCCTGGGACTAAACGGGGTCCTGGGGACTCTTAGGGGGCTGTGGAAGGGGAAAGAGGATGAGGAGGATGAGGGACATCATGAAACCAGGGAGAGGAGCTACACAGATGCCCCTAATGTGGACGGTACAGAGAAAGAGCATCTGATTCCTGTAGCTATTAAGGTGGGTATCAGTCAATATGAGGGAAAACATTTTTTGAGGGAGGACCCTCCAGAATAAGCTGGTCTGTGGCTTATTGACAACTACAGTGAGGGAAAAAAGTATTTGATCCCCTGCTGATTTTGTACATTTGCCCACTGACAAAGAAATGATCAGTCTATAATTTTAATGGTAGGTTTATTTGAACAGTGAGAGATAGAATAACAACAAAAAAATCTAGAAAAACGCATGTCAAAAATGTTATAAATTGATCAGCATTTTAATGAGGGAAATAAGTATTTGACCGCTCTGCAAAACATGACTTAGTACTTGGTGGCAAAACCCTTGTTGGCAATCACAGAGGTCAGACGTTTCTTGTAGTTGGCCACCAGGTTTGCACACATCTCAGGAGGGATTTTGTCCCACTCCTCTTTGCAGATCTTCTCCAAGTCATTAAGGTTTCGAGGCTGACGTTTGGCAACTCGAACCTTCAGCTCCCTCCACAGATTTTCTATGGGATTAAGGTCTGGAGACTGGCTAGGCCACTCCAGGACCTTAATGTGCTTCTTCTTGAGCCACTCCTTTGTTGCCTTGGCCGTGTGTTTTGGGTCATTGTCATTCTGGAATACCCATCCACGACCCATTTTCAATGCCCTGGCTGAGGGAAGGAGGTTCTCACCCAAGATTTGACGGTACATGGCCCCGTCCATCGTCCCTTTGATGCGGTGAAGTTGTCCTGTTCCCTAAGCAGAAAAACACCCCCAAAGCATAATGTTTCCACCTCCATGTTTGACGGTGGAGATGGTGTTCTTGGGGTCATAGGCAGCATTCCTCCTCCTCCAAACACGGCGAGTTGAGTTGATGCCAAAGAGCTCGATTTTGGTCTCATCTGACCACAACACTTTCACCCAGTTCTCCTCTGAATCATTCAGATGTTCATTGGCAAACTTCAGACGGGCATGTATATGTGCTTTCTTGAGCAGGGGGACCTTGCGGGCGCTGCAGGATTTCAGTCCTTCACGGCGTAGTGCGTTACCAATTGTTTTCTTGGTGACTATGGTCCCAGCTGCCTTGAGATCATTGACAATATCCTCCTGTGTAGTTTTGGGCTGATTCCTCACCGTTCTCATGATTATTGCAACTCCACGAGGTGAGATCTTGCATGGAGCCCCAGGCCGAGGGAGATTGACAGTTATTTTGTGTTTCTTCCATTTGCGAATAATCGCACCAACTGTTGTCCACTTCTCACCAAGCTGCTTGGCGATGGTCTTGTAGCCCATTCCAGCCTTGTGTAGGTCTACAAGCTTGTCCCTGACATCCTAGGAGAGCTCTTTGGTCTTGGCCATGGTGGAGGGTTTGGAATCTGATTGATTGATTGATGGCTTCTGTTTCCCTCATTAAAATGCAAATCAATGTATAACATTTTTGACATGCGTTTTTCTGGATTTTTTTGTTGTTATTCTGTCTCTCACTGTTCAAATAAACCTACCATTAAAATTATAGACTGATCATTTCTTTGTCATTGGGCAAACGTACAAAATCAGCAGGGGATCAAATACTTTTTTCCCCTCACTGTATATCCTATTAGAGAGATGAGGCAACCTCCAAAGTGTTCCAAACAGAGGACGTTATTGCCATAATGCGAATGGGAATGTACATAGATAACTGACAGCACAAGTAGAGCAACAAGGCTATTAACAAAGGAAGGACTGTATGAAAATGTATACAGTGCATTCAGAAGTATGCAGACCCCTTGACTTTTTCCACATTTTGTTATGTTACAGCCTTATTCTAAAATGGATTAAATTGTTTTTTCCCCCTTATCAATCTACACACAGTACCCCATAATGACAAAGCAAAAACAGGTTTTTAGAAATGTTTCCAAATGTATATTTAAAAAAAACCCGGAAAAGACATTTACATAAATATTCAGACCCTTTACTCAGTACTTTGTTGAAGCACCTTTGGCAGAGATTACAGCCTTGCGTCTTCTTGGGTATGACGCTACATGCTTGGCACACCTGTATTTGGGGAGTTTCTCCCATTGTTCTCTGCAGATCCTCTCAAGCTCTGTCAGGTTGGATGGGGAGTGTCGCTGCACAGCTATTTTCAGATCTCTCCAGAGATTTTCGATCGTGTTCAAGTCCGGGCTCTGGATGGCCCACTCAAGGACATTCAGAGACTTGTCCCGAAGCCACTCCTGCGTTGTCTTGGCTGTGTGCTTAGGGTAGTTGTCCTGTTGGAAGGTGAACCTTTGCTCCAGTCTGAGGTCCTGAGCGCTCTGGAGCAGGTTTTCATCAAGGATCTCTCTGTACTTCATCCATTCATTTTTCCCTCGATCCTGACTAGTCTCCCAGTCCCTGCCGCTGAAAAACATCCGCACAGCATGATGCTGCCACCGCCATGCTTCACCGTAGGGATGGTGCCAGGTTTCCTCCAGACATGACACTTGGCATTCAGGCCAAAGAGTTCAATCTTGGTTTCATCAGACCAGAGAATCTTGTTTCTCATGGTCTGAGAGTCGTTTAGGTGCCTTTTGGCAAACACCAAGCGGGCTGTCATGTGCTTCCGTCTGGCCACTCTACCATAAAGGCCTGATTGGTAGAGTGCTGCAGAGAGGGTTGTCCTTCTGAAAGGTTGTCCCATCTCCACAGAGGAACGCTGGAGCTCCGTCGGAGTGACCATTGGGTTCTTGGTCACCTCCCTGACCATGGCACTTGGTCACCTCCCCCGATTGCTCAGTTTGGCCAGGCGGCCAGCTCTAGGAAGAGTCTTGGTGGTTCCAAACTTTTTCCATTTAAGAATGAGGGAGGCCACTGTGTTCTTGGGGACCTTCAATGCTGCAGAAATGTTTTGGTACCCTTCCTCAGATCTGTGCCTCGACACAATCCTGTCTCTGAGCTCTACGGACAATTCCTTCGACCTCATGGCTTGGTTTTTGCTCTGACATTCACTGTCAACTGTGGGACCTTTATATAGACAGGAGTGTGCATTTCCAAATGTCCAATCAATTGAATTTACCAAAGGTGGACTCCAATCAAGTTGTAGAAACATCTCAAGGATGATCAATGGAAACAGGATGCACTGGAGCTCAATTTCAAGTCTCATAGCAAAGGGTCTGAATACTTAAGTAAATATATTTTAATTATTTTTAATTAGCAAAACATTAAAAAAAAAACAGTTTTCGCTTTGTCATTATGGGGTATTGTGTGTAAATGTAATACATTTTAGAATAAGGCTGTAATGTGACAATGTGGAAAAAGTCAAGGGGTCTGAATTCTTTCCAAATGCACTGTATGCTCCATGCACATATTACAATAGAGCTATACACAAAGGCAGCATACAAAAATAGTGTTGAGGAGAGACTGACTGCATCACTTCTTTATTTTTAAATATATTTTTACCCCCTTCTCCCCCATTTCGTTATATCCAACTACAATCTTGTCTCATCGTTGCAACTCCCCAACGGGCCGGGCTCGGGAGAGGCGAAGGTCGAGTCATGCGTCCTCCCGAAACATGACCCGCCAAACCACGCTTCTTAACACCTGCCCTGTTAACCCGGAAGCCAGCTGCACCAATGTGTCGGAGGAAACACTGTTCAACTGACGACCTTACAGCCCAACACCGTGCAGGACGTTTGGCATTTGCCAGAGAACACCAAGATTGGCAAATTCGCCACTGGCGCCCTGTGCTCTTCACAGATGAAAGCAGGTTCACACTGAGCACATGTGACAGACGTGACAGAGTCTGGAGTCGCCGTGGAGAACGTTCTGCTGCCTGCAACATCCTCCAGCATGACCGGTTTGGCGGTGGGTCAGTCATGGTGTGGCATTTCTTTGGGGGGCCGCACAGCCCTCCATGTGCTCGCCAGAGGTAGCCTGACTGCCATTAGGTACCGAGATGAGATCCTCAGACCCCTTGTGAGACCATATGCTGGTGCGGTTGGCCCTGGGTTCCTCCTAATGCAAGACAATGCTAGACCTCATGTGGCTGGAGTGTGTCAGCAGTTCCTGCAAGAGGAAGGCATTGATGCTATGGACTGGCCCGCCCGTTCCCCAGAGCTGAATCCAATTGAGCACATCTGGGACATCATGTCTCGCTCCATCCACCAACGCCACGTTGCACCAGACTGTCCAGGAGTTGGCGGATGCTTTAGTCCAGGTCTGGGAGGAGATCCCTCAGGAGACCATCCGCCACCTCATCAGGAGCATGCCCAGGCGTTGTAGGGAGGTCATACAGGCACGTGGAGGCCACACACACTACTGAGCCTCATTTTCACTTGTTTTAAGGTCATTACATCAAAGTTGGATCAGCCTGTAGTGTGGTTTTCCACTTTAATTTTGAGGGTGACTCCAAATCCAGACCTCCATGGGTTGATACATTTGATTTCCATTGATAATTTTTGTGTGATTTTGTTGTCAGCACATTCAACTATGTAAAGAAAAAAGTATTTAATAAGATTATTTCATTCATTCAGATCTAGGATGTGTTATTTTAGTGTTCCCTTTATTTTTTTGAGCAGTGTAATTTAAAGGGCCAATTTGGATGCAATAAATTAGCTTAATTGGAGGCTGGCATGCTAGTTGGCTATGGCCTCATAGGATTCGGTGCCCTGGATGGTTTTCACGGAAGAATACTGTACCAAGTTAGCTAGCTGAATAAACTAAGTTAGTCTATTCCTAGAAAACATTGAACTGCTGTAGTTTACAACAATTATAATTTCTAAAGTGGAAGTTGGGAGAGTTATATTTGAGTGTTTCATTGAAACGTAAGTGAGGGAGGCCCCGCTCTCTCGCTTTCCCAGATGTTTAGTTCATTTCATTCCGATCTGTAGCCATTTTCTGTAGCCTGTCAACTATGTGTCTGTCTATCCCTGTTCTCTCCTCTCCGCACAGGCTATACAAACGCCTCACACAGTGTGGCTGCTGCCACTCTAACCTGGTGGTCCCTGCACGCACGACCCACGTGGAGTTCCAGGTCTCCGGCAGCCTCTGGAACTGCCGTTCTGCGGCCAACAAGGCAGAGTTCATCTCAGCCTATGCTACCCTCCAGTCCCTCGACTTCTTGGCGCTGACGGAAACATGGATTACCACAGAAACACTGCTACTCCTACTGCTCTCTCCTCGTCTGACCATGTGTTCTCGCATACCCCGAGAGCATCTGGTCAGCGGGGTGGTAGCACAGGAATCCTCATCTCTCCCAAGTGGACATTCTCTCTTTCTCCCCTGACCCATCTGTCTACCTCCTCATTTGAATTCCATGCTGTCACAGTCACTAGCCCTTTCAAGCTTAACATCCTTATCATTTATCGCCCTCCAGGTTCCCTTGGAGAGTTCATCAATGAGCTTGATGCCTTGATAAGTTCCTTTGCTGAGGATGGCTCACCCCTCACAGTTCTGGGTGACTTTAACCGGCAGACATATCAGTGTGGATGACGGATCACCACCTCAAGCTGAACCTCGGCAAGACGGAGCTGCTCTTCCTCCCGGGGAAGGACTGCCCGTTCCATGATCTCGCCATCACGGTCCTCCTCCCAGAGTGCAAAGAGCCTTGGCGTGACCCTGGACAACACCCTGTCGTTCTCCGCAAACATCAAGGCGGTGACCCGATCCTGTAGGTTCATGCTCTACAACATTCGAAAAGAACGACCCTGCCTTACACAGGAAGAGGCACAGGTCCTAATCCAGGCACTTGTCATCTCCCGTCTGGATTACTGCAACTCGCTGTTGGCTGGGCTCCCTGCTTGTGCCATTAAACCCCTACAACTCATCCAGAACGCCGCAGCCCATCTGGTGTTCAACCTTCCCAAGTTCTCTCACGTCACCCCGCTCCTCCGCACACTCCACTGGCTTCCAGTTGAAGCTTGCATCTGCTACAAGACCATGGTGCTTGCCTACGGAGCTGTGAGGGGAACGGCACCTCCGTACCTTCAGGCTCTGATCAGTCCCTACACTCAAACAAGGGCATTGCGTTCATCCACCTCTGGCCTGCTGGCCCCCCTACCTCTGCGGAAGCACAGTACCCGCTCAGCCCAGTCAAAACTGTTGGCTGCTCTGGCACCCCAATGTTGGAACAAGCTCCCTCACGACACCAGGACAGCGGAGTCACTCACCATCTTCCGGAGACACTTGAAACCCCACCTCTTTAAGGAATACCTGGGATAGGATAAAGTAATGCTTCTACCCCCCCTTACTCCGCCCCAAAGAGAGAAAAATAATATATATATATATATAATTTTAAAGTAGTTGTCCCACTGGCTATCATAAGGTGAATGCACCAATTTGTAAGTCGCTCTGGATAAGAGCGTCTGCTAAATGACAAATGTAAATGTTATTTCTCAGAGATCAAATTACATAAAGAAAACAATTTCAGCACAATCTGAGATGGGGGGTGTCATGGCATGCTGAATTGACATGGAATGACTCTAGGGCCAGAGGTGTGAAGGGCCAGTTTACTACCCATAGCCTAGGCTCTAGAGGGGGAGGGGAGCCTACTGCAAGAGTTAGAGTTTGTGTCCCTGAGAGAGGGCTGTGAGAATGAGATGGTGTGCTAAGAGTCACCGGCAGGGAATTCGTAAAATGTTTTGAGGTGCCAAGAACTGCATATCTGTACTCAAATTGACTTATTACAGTGGGGGAAAAAAGTATTTAGTCAGCCACCAATTGTGCAAGTTCTCCCACTTAAAAAGATGAGAGAGGCCTGTAATTTTCATCATAGGTACACGTCAACTATGACAGACAAAATTAGAAGAAAAAAAATCAAGAAAATCCCATTGTAGGATTTTTAATGAATTTATTTGCAAATATGGTGGAAAATAAGTATTTGGTCAATAACAAAAGTTTCTCAATACTTTGTTATATACCCTTTGTTGGCAATGACACAGGTCAAACGTTTTCTGTAAGTCTTCACAAGGTTTTCACACACTGTTGCTGGTATTTTGGCCCATTCCTCCATGCAGATCTCCTCTAGAGCAGTGATGTTTTGGGGCTGTCACTGGGCAACACAGACTTTCAACTCCCTCCAAAGATTTTCTATGGGGTTGAGATCTGGAGACTGGCTAGGCCACTCCAGGACCATGAAATGCTTCTTACGAAGCCACTCCTTCATTGCCCGGGCGGTGTGTTTGGGATCATTGTCATGCTGAAAGACCCAGCCACGTTTCATCTTCAATGCCCTTGCTGATGGAAGGAGGTTTTCACTCAAAATCTCACGATACATGGCCCCATTCATTCTTTCCTTTCGTCCTGGTCCCTTTGCAGAAAAACAGCCCCAAAGCATGATGTTTCCAACCCCATGCTTCACAGTAGGTATGGTGTTCTTTGGATGCAAACACGACGAGTTGAGTTTTTACCAAAAAGTTATATTTTGGTTTCATCTGACCATATGACATTCTCCCAATCCTCTTCTGGATCATCCAAATGCACTCTAGCAAACTTCAGACGGGCCTGGACATGTACTGGCTAAAGCAGGGGGACACGTCTGGCACTGCAGGATTTGAGTCCCTGGCGACGTAGTGTGTTACTGATGGTAGGCTTTGTTACTTTGGTCCCAGCTCTCTGCAGGTCATTCACTAGGTCCCCCCGTGTGGTTCTGGGATTTTTGCTCACCGTTCTTGTGATCATTTTGACCCCACGGGGTGAGATCTTGCGTGGAGCCCCAGATCGAGGGAGATTATCAGTGGTCTTGTATGTCTTCCATTTCCTAATAATTGCTCCCACAGTTGATTTCTTCAAACCAAGCTGCTTAGCTATTGCAGATTCAGTCTTCCCAGCCTGGTGCAGGTCTACAATTTTGTTTCTGGTTCCTTTGACAGCTCTTTGGTCTTGGCCATAGTGGAGTTTGGAGTGTGACTGTTTGAGGTTGTGGACAGGTGTCTTTTATACTGATAACAAGTTCAAACAGGTGCCATTAATACAGGTAACGAGTGGAGGACAGAGGAGCCTCTTAAAGAAGAAGTTACAGGTCTGTGAGAGCCAGAAATCTTGCTTGTTTGTAGGTGACCAAATATTTATTTTCCACCATAATTTGCAAATAAATTCATAAAAAATCCTACAATGTGATTTTCTGGATTTTATTTTCTCAATTTGTCTGTCATAGTTGACGTGTACCTATGATGAAAATGACAGGCCTCTCTCATCTTTTTAAGTGGGAGAACTTGCACAATTGGTGGCTGACTAAATACGTTTTTCCCCCACTGTATATATGGGACATGATTTTGTTAGGAAACATGTAATAAATGCCCTCCTCTTCTCTCTTTCCAGGTGCTTCATCCAGGGATCAGGAGACGGGTAGAGATTGACCTGCTACTGATGAGGGCAGGCAGCTGGCTCATCAACTGTCTGCCTGGATTCAAATGGCTCAGCCTGCCTGAGATAGTGGAGGAGTTTGAGAAGCTAATGACCAAACAGGTAGCCAACTCCAGTACACACTGTATTCAGTGCCAATTGAATAGCTGTAGGTTTTAACAATTTCAAGTGCAGTTTTTAGTTCTAATGGATTGAATCTGCTGTTTTATTGCAGATTGACCTGCGGTTTGAAGCCAATAACATCGAAAGGTTCCGGGAGAATTTCAAGGATGTTGATTTTGTCAAGTTCCCAACTCCTCTTCGACCATTTGTCACCAGGTCCATTTTAGTGGAAACCTTTGAGGTAAGTTGAGACGGCACCTTCACCACGATGCCAAATACGAATAGAGGAAAGTAATGACATAACACCAGTAAAAAAATCAATGGTAGAGGTTGAATAATAGTGATGTGCAGTTCGAACGATTCGTTCTTGTTGAACAGCTCTTTACTGAGTCGAGAGTCATGATTCGTTTTTATGAGTGACTTGTTCATTTTAGTCGTTTGTTTGGCCTGCTGGCCACAATGAGTCCTGCAGCAGGACTAATACACGCTCCTCTGGCTCAGCGGCTCCACACCATGTGCTTTGACCAACAACTGTCTATCATATGTGCGCTTAGGAAAATGTATCATGCTGCAGGCATCATAGAGAATGAAGACATACCTACAATTGATTGTTGATCACATGGTGCTAGAATGAATGTAATTAATTGATTATGGAATGTTATGATGGACACCGCTTTGTAGAACCAAAACATACACAGTCTCTGCTCAACAAACTTGAACTCGAGAACGAATCATTTGGGGGGCTGTTGCAGTTTGCCAAATGATATTGTGCTTATCACCCTCACGGCAGTCAAGCAATTGCATTCCGCCAAGAGTCATTCACAATCTAGTGAAGTTGCGGCCGCAACTATACCTCGTTTCAAAGGAATCAATAAATAATCTTATTTGTATGCCTAGCAAGCACAAATGTAAATTGTTTAAAGCACACTTTTACAAGTCTCAGTCACAAATTAATTAAATGACAGCTCCAATAAGCCCCCTATGGTGAACGAGTTTTCAAGTTTTCTTTGGAGTTTTCAGTTCATCGTTTGCCGTAGGGGGTCCTGCATGCTTTGGGCATTACTGAATGAAATGAACGAAATTAGTCGAAAGAGACAACTCCCCATCGCTATTGAATAAGTGACCTGTTAACTGTTTCAGGAGAGTGAGCCCATCTCCAACTACCTGAGCCCTGAGGTCCCTCTAAAGGTGAAACAGAGAATTGCCAGGATGGGAGTGGACATTCTTCTCAAGATGGTGAGAGGGCCTAAGCATGTTCCTCTTTGTGACCTCTGCAACTGGAAATACATATTTGAAACCCTTCATATACCTACTTCTTTCTTAACATTGAATGACGATGACCAGCTCCTTATCCTCCTATGTGTATTTGTGTGCCTTTGTCTAGGTGTTTGTGGATAACTTTGTGCATGGGGACCTGCACCCGGGTAACATCCTGGTCCAACGTAGCAGGGGTGGAGGGGACAACGACCCCCAGGGAAGGGCCACCCTGACGGACCTGTGCGACACGGTGGTGGTAAGCATGAGGCCGGCCCCGGCCCCTTTGCAGCTGGTGCTGCTGGACGCTGGCATCGTGTCACAGCTCAGCGACAGAGACCTTAGGAACTTCAGAGCCGTGTTCACCGCCGTGGTGCTACGACAGGTGAGAGACGCACGCACACACCACACACAAACATTAATTTAGAACTTCTCCTAGAAGCTCCAGAGGAGGCCAAAGAGGGGTTTATGAGGCTTCTCACTTGCCTGAGTATTGCGATGGAGGATGGGGTATCCAATGATGTCATGAGCTTCTAACACCCATAGCTGTTGTGTTTAGGGGGAACAGGTGGCCGAGCTGATCCTGAACCATGCCAGGGCCAACGAGTGCCAGGACGTGCCTCGGTTCAAGAAGGAGATGGCAGAGCTGGTGGACCATGCCCTCAGCAACACTCTCTCACTAGGCAAGGTCCAAGTGGCTGATTTGCTATCCAGAGTCTTCGGATTGCTCATCACCCACAAGGTAAATAAAACCAGTCCTGGAGTGAGAAAGTCTAGTTTCAAAACCACCAACCTTTTCTGTAATATCAATAGTTATGGCTAGATATTTCTCACATTGTGAGTTTGTTACCAAGACTGCTGTTGACTTGTGGTTTGTTTGCCCCTCAATCAGGTGAAGTTGGAGAGTAACTTTGCATCCATTGTGTTTGCCATCATGGTGCTGGAGGGGCTGGGGAGGTCTCTGGACCCCAACTTGGACATACTGGAGCTGGCCAAGCCTTTGCTGCTCAAGAACGCTGCCTCCCTCCTCTGACCCTGACTCCCCTCACACCACCTGCATATCACTACATCTGAGCAACACAGACATGGGCAGTGTTTGACAGCATCACCGACTGAGAACACTGACTTATCTACAAATCATAATTATTTAGGATGCAAGGTGATTTGTTGATCAGTCAGCAGAATTGATGATCTCAAACACAGCCATGGATACCTCATTTAGGGCCCAGAGTATTTCCTGGTCACGTGGTCTGTAAAAAATCCTGGCCCTCCGCCTGTTACATTAGTGACTGACTGAATATACCTTGTAGAGTGTACCTTTACCTGTGAAATGTGAATCATTGCTTGGTTAAGGTGTCCAAACATCTCAATAACTATCCTGTTATACTCCTATGTAAGTGGTATGCCTTGCACACGATCTCCTTACCTTACATGCTGGTCAGATGAACTGCAAGTCATCATTTATACGTGAATACCCATGTGATTTCCTTGTGTTTTAATAAAAAATGACAACGTTGTGCTTACACTTTGTAAGCACTGCAGACTATTTTCCATTTAATAAAATGGTGAGTTTTAACATCTGAATTAGTGACAATCCTTAGTATATCGTTTTATACTATTCTAGCAATCTCAGGGTATTGTTAGGATAGTGTTTTAGCATGCAACTAGAATAATGCAATGTAATGTGTTTTAGAATCATGTCTGATGGCTAGGCAAAATGTTCCTTTTCGTGTGTATTATAATGTCATTTAGCAGACGCTCTTATCCAGAGCGACTTACAAATAGGTGCATTCACCTTATAGCCAGTGGGATCACCACTTTACAATGTTTTTATTTTATTTATTTTTTTGGGTTTAGGTTGGGGTAAGGGGGGGTAGAAGGATTACATAATAAGGTATGTCAAGTCAACTGACCTCACCATTATGTATGATAACACTACATTGCCATTTTTAAGTCTTTTTACACTTGCTAGTGAAATATTTTATATGCATATACTGGTTAGATCATTAAACAATGCATCAAAAACTCTTTGCTTTTCTCTCTTTTCCTTGTGTCATGAGGATAACTATGTACTGTATATTTTACCCACTTTTTCTCCCCAATTTCGTGATATCCAATTTGTAGTTAAGTCTTATCCCATCGCTGCAACTCCTGTACGGACTCGGGAGAGGTGAAGGTCGAGAGCCATGTGTCCTCTGAAACACGACCCTGCCAAGCCACACTGCTTCTTGAAACACTGCTCGCTTAACCCAGAAGCCAGCCGCACCAATGTGTCGGCGGAAACACCGTCCAACTGGCGACCGAAGTCAGCTTGCAGGCGCCCAGCCCGCCACAAGGAGTCGCTAGAGCGCGATGGGACAAGGACGTCCCGGCCAAACCCTCCCCTAACCCGGACGATGCTGGGCCAATTGTGCGCCGCCTCATGGGTCTCCCGGTCGCGGCCGGCTGCGACACAGCCTGGGTCTGTAGTGATGCCTCTAGCACTGTGATGCAGTGCCTTAGATCAAACTACTTTTAAATGAGTTAGGATATTAGTAGTATTTAGTGAAAACTGCTCTAAACTGTCAAAGACCACAAGCCAGAGGTCTCCATTAATTTACAATTTTATTAAATCTGTCAATGAAAAACACAGACAAGAGACGCGATTCTGTCAATGTTAGGAAGAACAGTCAGCATGGCTGAGAGTGAGATCAGGAGCTTTTGGTGCCAAAAAGAAATCATAATGGACTATTATTGCAACAACATAAAAAAATCAATTTCATCACCATCACAAGTCCAAACAGAGCAGCATTGTCCATATAGTAGGGGAGGAAGAGGTGACAACTGAGTAAAAAATAACTATTCAGAATAATAGTGACAGTAATAATAATTACAAAATAAATAAAAACATCTCTAAACAAACCAACACAATCACCTCAATAGGACGAGATTCGGTCACTGTCACAACAATCAGAGAAATTCGCTTATTTTTTCCTCTTTTTTTTTTTTACATTAAATGAATTAAATAGTTTTAAAAATATCTCACCCTTTACTTTACATACTCATTTTTATTTTATTGCGAAAAATAGGCAACTGGACTAATTGTGATGAGCGTGAGAGCAGTGGAGTGGAACGTAGGAGCATTGGCGCTGAGAGATGCTGCAGTGCATGAATGCAGTACCCTCATCAGCCACAGAGTGGCGCAGTTCCACATTCCACCTAGTGGCCTCCAGAGTGGTTCAGCCTCTCACCACTGTCTGCTCTGGGGTTGCAGGCCAGTGTCCGTGACAGCCTCTTTAAGGAATGATGCGTGTGTTTGTTTCAAATCTGTCTGTCGGTCATCTCTCCGGAGCCGGATATCAGAGTTATGTACAAAGGTAATTCCTGTGTGGCGCGGTTGGTAGAGCATGGCGCTTGCAACGCCAGGGTTGTGGGTTCGATTCCCACGGGGGACCAGTACGAACAAGTTAAATATATGCACTCACTACTGTAAGTTGCTCTGGATAAGAGCATCAGCTTACTGACTAAAATGTAAAGGTAAATCCCTGAACGACATCCTACAAAGACAAGTGCAACCTCCATTTGACGAACCCCTTCTGGAGAAGCTCAGGATCAAAGATGGAGGGTTTCCTCTGTAGGTAATAAGGGGAATAATCAGATCTGGTAAAGCTGCCACACCACAGGGACTCATAAGGATTGTTCTGGTTTTTGGGATAAAGAGGAAAAGAGGAATGGTGTGACTGGATCAGGAATGTCAACTGTCAAAGGGAGGAAGGATTTGAAAAAGTGAAGATGAGGAACTTCGATATCCTCACACCAGGCACCAAAAAGGTCAGAGCAAATGGCTCCTTCACCTTCAAAATAAAAAGACAGGAGAAGAAGCAAACAAAAACATAAATAAAAAACAAAGAACCAATGAAACGCACAACTCTAAGTAACACCTGTCCATCATCATCATCATCAACATCCCTTCCTGTCAATCAATCAGCCTCTCCATGCGTTTCACTCTTTTTCACGACAGAGAAACTCTTTACAGAAGAAGCAGTCTGGCTCATCGAGCATCAGTCTTTTAGGATCTTTGTTTGTTCCGTGCCCTGTTTGTCTGTCTGTGTGGCAGCGGTTCAGTTCTGGAGCCCCCTGGTGGGCTGGCTGCCCTCCATGTCTCTGCAGTGGCCGGGACTGGCATGCAGCTCAGTGTTGGTGGCTGGGTGGGGAGGGGGGCTGTACGGGGCAGGGGACTGGGGCTTTGGGGAGCCTTGGGAGGAGTGTAAACAGTTCAGTGACACTGTTTCAATCCTGGGCATGGAGGGGGGAGCAGGGGCAGAGGTTCGCCTACAGAGAGGGAGTGGGGCAGGGGCTGGAGAGAGAGGAGAGGAGAAGAGTAGGGTAAAGGGCCAACTCCTAATCTGGAAGTGTTGATGCTCCTCCTTTGTAGGAGAGGGACGTACACACACACCTACAGACTGGGCAGTGCAGACACACACTAATAAAACACACTCACATATATACACAAACACACATAAACACACTTCTGCCTCAGCAGGTTTGGGCTGTGCTGTTGTAAGGTCAGGCAGACGGAGCAATCACACAGTCAGCATTCTGACATAGGTTCTCATTGACTTCTAATGGGAAACCCATTATGCTCCAGATAAGACAGAAGAAGACTGGCCAGGACGTTGCAGAGAACCCATTCTTATGGGTGGGCTAGTCTCTGTTTAGACTGAATTGGTCTTTCTATGTAGGAGATGTCTGGGAAGACACAGTCCTGAACATGGCTGCTCCTCATGTTGTGTAGGGATCTCTGACTTGCCTGTTTAGAAGTGTGGGAGTTTGACTACATCCAACTCCCTTCCTGGGGCCCTCTATTCTTCCTGGGAGGGGTTGTATGGGACCTATTGGGAGGACAGCAGAGGAGCAGACTCTCTCTGTCTGGTCTATGACAGCCTTCTGGTTTCTACCTACTGAGGCTCTGTGGGCGTCTGTGTTGCATGTGTGTATGCCTATGTGTGTGTGTATGTGTGGTGGGCTCAGGACGAGACCAAGAAAAGGGCACCCCCTGTACCCCCCCCCCCCCCCTCCTCCTCCCTCTCCCTCTCTCTCCAGCTTTGAGTGCCTGGCTTTGAGCGGAGTGTGGAGGCTGCCACTAATGGGGGGGCTGGTGTCGCTACGAGTTGAGCCAGGGGTGGCTGAGGCAGTCCCCGGCTGATGCCCTCTTCTCAGGGACCATCTCCAGCATGGGCAGCAGGAAGTGGGTGAAGTGGCCGGCGTCCTCTGGTGCCCAGCCGTACTTCTCCACCAACACATCAAACAGAGACCAGGGCTTCAGCTTGGTGATGTGCCTCAGCTCACCTACAGGGGGAGGTAGAGAGAGAGGGATGGGGGAGGGAGAGAGAGAGAGAAATGAAAATAATAAGTTACAGTGCGATGCTATGTAAAGACTTACAATGAGAAAGCGAGTGAGAGCGCAATACACAGAGAGAGAGAGAGAGAATAAAAAAAGAGAGAGACAAAAGAGAGAGTAGAACTCAAGCTGCATCTCAATACTCCGTAGTGGCATCCTTTCTATGTCTCTTTGCTTTCATCAACACTGAATGGGTGGAAGCACTGACCTTATTATTTACAGTGTAGATGAAGGAAAGGAAACAAGCTTCTGACTATTGAGACACAGCCCAAGAAAGTAAAATCAAGGGCCTGGAGCAGTGTCTGACTGGGAGTCAGTCAGAACACGAACACCATAGAGAGATAAAAGGAGTGAATTAAGACATAATTTACAGCAGGCGAGACCTTTGAGGGAGAGAGCGAGAGAGAGAACAATCACAATATTAGAGCCCCATGACTAGAACATGAGAGAAGCAGGGTAGAAGCAGGGTAGCACGCTGTTTCTACCAGCCAGGTCACCTGTGGTACAAGTCAGTATTCGACGTCCATCCATGTCTGAGGACGTCGGGAAATGTGGAAACAGGCCACTAGGGGCGACAGTGAGCGCTATTACTTTCAAGTAGGTTTCAGTTTTGCTAGGGCGTTGTGGACGAGGATGGGAGTAAGCATCTGCCTCTGGTGCAAAAAGTTGCATGTTCGAATCCATCCAGTTGTTTTTTAGATTTTTGTTTTAAGCCTATCCCAAACCTTAACGCTTACTTTAACCATTCAGAGTTAATACCTAACCTTAATGCCTAAACCTGAGCTTAAACACTTTGAAATTTGGAACAACTTTGAAATTTGACATTTGAGAAACATGGATGAATGTCTAATTCTGACGTGAGACTGTGAGAGCTAGTTGGTTTCTACAGACACCACTTACCAGGAGCAGAGAGCAGCAGATAGTGACACAGCGGAAACACACATAGACTGGCAGACAGGCCGTAGACTCAGGGAGGATAGTACTCCGAACTCAGTCAAGTGGCTGGAAAGATGACTATTGTATTACTGGTGTACCTAGCTAGATAACTAGATAACTAAATCTAAATCTTGAGAACTCACATTTTAAACTACACTCTTAGAAAAAAAGTGATATCTAGAACCTAAATGGGTTCTTTGGCTGTCCCCATAGGAGAACCCTTTTTGGTTCCAAGTAGAACCCTTTTTGGTTCCAAGTAGAACCCTTTTGGGTTCCATGTAGAACCCTTTCCACACAGGGTTCTACATGGAACCCAAAAGGGTTCTACCTAGAAACAAACAGGGTTCTCCTATGGGGACAGCCAAAAAAAACATTTGGAACCCTTTTTTTCTAAGTGTAATGTTAGGCACAATTTCTAAGGGATGTACAGTATGTACTGCAGGGTTCTTCAATTCCGGTCCTGGAGGGCCGAGACACCTCTGTTTTTCATCCTCTCCTTCTAATCAGGGGCTAATTCAGACCTGGGACACCAGGTGAGTGCAATTAACTACCAGGTAGAAATAAAAAACAGAAGTGTTTCGGCCCTCCAGGACCGGAATTGAAGAACCCTGATGTACTGTATGTATTTCTAGGTGGACACACAACACAAATACTACTGCACACTACTACAGGCTCAGTGGAGGCTGCTGAGGGGAGAACGGCTCATAATAATGGCTGGAACGGCGCAAATGGAATGGCATCAAACACCTGGAAACCATGTGTTGGATGTATTTGATACCATTCCACTGATTCCGCTCCAGTCATTACCACGAGCCCGTTCTCCCCAATTAAGGTGCTACCAACCACCTGTGAGCAGACTACAAGCTTTGTTACAAGTGTAAAAATGGTGTAAACCGTGTATGTACATGTACTAATATTTAGAGAAATACTGTTCCTGTCATTGCCTCATTGTGGTAGTCTCATCGTGACGTTACCTTTCTTGGAGAAAAACTCTCGGCTGTATTTCCCGGTGGCGACCACTTTGCGTGGAACCTTCCCCAATAGCTCCATGATCAGAGCGATGTGATCTGAACCCCGGCCACCACAGGCCACACCACCAAAGAACAGGCACGACACAGCATTACATCACAAACATACACACACGCTGAAGGGATGGACGGACACACTGCTGCCTGGAGACACCACACTGACAGACAGACTGACTGACGGGACAGTAAGTCTCTCAAGAAGATAGTGGAGAGGGCTATGCCTAAACTGGTTTGACAGTGTATGTGAATTAGAGCAAATGGACATACAGTACTATTCCCTCTTTATGTCCTTTCTGTCTAACAACTGTTCACAACAATGGTGTGTTGGAATGCCAGGCAATTTGCTGCAAAACCCCTTATTGCTTTTGGACTTCTTAAATCATTCCCATTCCACTCTGTCTGCATTCCTGTCTGTCCATCTGACTGTCTGAGTCAGTGTGTGTGCGCAGGCGTCTGTGTGTCTCCGTCCCATCAGCACTTTCCCCCAGTGCTACCTCTTCGGTTGAAGAACTCCCGGGAATATTTTCCGGAGAGTGCAAAGTGCCGTGGAATAATGCCCAGCAGCTCAATGATGTGGGCTATATGGTCTACAGAGGAGAGAGGAAGAAAGGAGGAAGAGGAACAGGGAAAGGAGGAAAAGGAGAGAGGGAACAAGGAGGAATAAGAACATGAGGAGTAGAAGGAGAAAATATAAAGGAGAGAGGGAAAGGAGGACAAGGAACCAGAGAGGTAAGAGGAGGAGGAAAGGGGTAGAGACAGAGAGCTCAGTGTTAGTGACCCCACACCAGAGGTGGTGAGATGGAGTACAGAGTGCAGTGGGTTTGGAGTAGAGAGACATGCATCTATTCTCTTTAAATCTGAGAGACTCATCACCAAATAATGGTCTGATTCTAACTGAATACAATTCAGTGGCTCTCATTGTCGTCAATTGAGATATCATGGCAGTATCTGTCTATACATATTTACTACTTGCCATTTATATTGATAGTATGGTGAAATATTGTTAACATGGTATGTATGGGGTCAAATGTGGGTGGCTGGACATGAGATCAACAGGAGGGTTGATGTGACACTGTGTAGGAGGTCAACTGGACTAGACTCAGGGATGGACAGGATGGAGGAGCTATGGGGTGGGTGGGGATTCAGGAGTGAGCCGGAATAGATGGGGTTAGGGTGAGTTTAGGGAGCGAGAAGGTGTGGATGTGAATATGGGGATAGGGTGAGTTTAGGGAGCGAGAAGGTGTGGATGTGAATATGGGGTTAGGGTGAGTTTAGGGAGCGAGAAGGTGTGGATGTGAATATGGGGATAGGGTGCGACAAGGTTTTGATGTGGGGATTGGATGAGTTAGGTCAGGTAAAGATGTAGATTTGGGGATAAGTTGAGTGAGGGTATAGATGTAGAATGTGAGGATAGATACATAGATAATAGCAGATAGGGAAACTAGAAGGGACTATACTAAAATCTGCTGGATATCTTTAGTCCATGATTTGGGCCCATTGTAATAAAACAATTTACAATCAAGCTTTCATACAATCTACTACTACAGTGTATTACTATATATAACGTATCATGTCATTCAGTTGAGCAAATCTCAAATGACAGTGCTACAACAGTTGTAACTACACAATTACTCAGTCTAAACACATTAACAACACAACGACACATATTAAACAGCTATTTCTACATCACTACATAGATAAACATGTAGTATTATGTTTAGTATGAGATTGGTCTATTAGGAGAACAGTGTGTATAGACTCACCCTCATCCCTGGAGTAGTCCTCCCCAGAGTGGGGCTCAAACAGGTAGTCTCCTGTAGCCAGCTCAAACGCCTGCAGGACACACACAGGATAGGATCATCAGTCAGTACTGATGTGTTTGTGTGTGTGTGTGTGTGTGTGTGTGTGTGAGTACATACGTACGGACATGTGTGTGAATATGTGTGTGTTTGTGTGCTCACCATGCAGGCGGTGCTCCAGATGTCAGCAGGAGTGCTGTACCCAGCTCCTATCAGGACCTCTATGGAGCGGTATTGTCTGGTCTGGATATCCTCTGTGAAGTGCTTGTGCTGAGAGACAGGGAGGAAAAGAGAGGAGAGAGAGAGAGAGGAGAGAGAGGAGAGAGAGGAGAAAGAGAGAGGAGAGAGAAAGAGAGAGAGGAGATGGATAAACTACACTGTACATTATGCATCTGTGTCTATTGCAAAACACCCGTACACCTACTGTACACCAGGGCTCTCCAACTCTGTTCCTTGAGCGCTACCGTCCAGTAGGTTTTCACTCCAACCCTATTCTAGCACACCTGATTCTAATAATTAGCTGGTTGATAAGATGAATCAGCTTAGTTACAACTGGGGTTGGAGTGAAAACCTACAGGAGGGTAGCTCTCCAGGAACAGGGATGGAGAACTCTATACACACACTCAAATACCTCCACGCGCACACACACACACACACACACACACACGACTTACCACCCAACAGGCGTTGCCCAGGTCAGCTATCTTGACTCGGAGTGTGTCAGCGTTGCGAGGGTCCAGGGGGTTGACCAGGAGATCTGCTGCTTTGGCCTTGGCTAGAACCACATCATCTAGTTAGGATACATGTGTTATTGTTGGGGAGAAGGACAGGCAGCAGGCAGAGAATGTCCAGTACGTGTGTCTCTATGACTTCTTGTATATGCACATCTGTGTCCATGCATGTGAGTGAAAGAGTGAAAGAGAGAGCAAAAGAGAGAGAAAGGAGAAATGTCTCACCTTTAGGCGTGTCCCCAGTGCTTGAGGACGACACAGTACGACTGCGGTCTGCAGTGGGGCTGTGAGGGGAGGTCCCGGCCCCCAGGTGACCAGCTTCGCCCACCGTGACAGGGCTTCCCGGGTCGGGGTCCAGGGGCAGGTCGGGGAAGCGTGGCGCCGTGCCCCTGTGGCGCTGCGCCCCGTTGGTCAGGCCTGGCGTGACCACCTCGCCATTGAAGAGCTCGTAGGAGGAGCTGAGGGTGCTTTGGTCCCTGTCCGTGCAGCTGATCTCTGACTCCACCAGGGGGCAGTGCAGAGGGATGGGGGAGGAGGTAGGGGCTGGGGGGTTGGCTCTGGGACATCTCTCCCTGTCCCTCTCCTCACCCCCTAGGAGGACATGGCCGTTGGTTTTGGGGGTGTTGTTGTTGTGTCCCATAGTGGTGGAGATGGAGTTGATGAGGTCGTCAGCGCCTGTCTCTGTTTCATCAGCATCGTCGTCTTCCTCATCGTCATCATCATCGTCGTCGTCATCATCGTCATCATCGTCGTCCTCCTCTTCCTCTTTGTCCTTTTCCTGCTCCTTGGTCTCCTCACCCTTCACCTCCTCCTCTGTTCTCCTCTCCTTCTTTGGTTCCTCTTTCTCTTCTTTCACGGCAGGAGCTGTAACCAAGTCCTCTTCATCCTCATCGTCGTCTTTCCCATCCTCCTCCTCCTCATTGTCATTCTCTTCCTTAACCTCCTCTTTCTCCCCCTCCTCCCCCTCCGGGTTGGCGTTAGCTCTGCCATCCCCAGGTGTGGTGGTGATGGGTGTGGGGGTCTGTGTCTCTGTCTCTGGGGTAGGCTCCCCCTCTGGCTCTGCTGCTGCCTCTGGGGTGGGGGGCACCTCTGACTGCTCCTGGGGTGGGGCTGCACCTGAAAGGCACAGGGGGAGAGAAAGAGTAGAGGAGTGAAAAAGAGAAGAAGGGAGAGAGGGAGAGAGAAAGGCAGAGAGAGGGGGTGGGAGGAAAGCGAGAGCTTGTGTTAGACTGTAGTTGTTTATGAATCAGCCTTGCATTGCTCCCACGCAGTACACTCTAAAACAATTCAGGGTTGTTTGGATGAACCAACTGCTGGGTTACAGGCATTTGGTCACTTAGTTATTTATTTTATTTTTTAAGAGCAAGGTTGTGTTGTTGATGCTGGGTTTATTCTGGGTTATACCCAGCGGGTCAGATCAGAAGACTGGAGGCGTGGCTTAGTAGGGGCATGGCTTTCCGGTAGTTATTTTTGGTCACCCGCAAGAGTAAACGTCATTCCGGTTAATCTGTTCTGTTGTATTGTTATCACTTTATAAGGTGACGGTAGAATAGAAAGGGGAAGAAGAAAATAGGAAGTAGTCAGGAAGAGGTCTTGATCGACTGAGGGGTGGAGCATGGCGTCTTCAGCAAATAGACGAGCAGTTGGAAAGGGAGTAAGTCCCGATGATAGTGAGGATAACAGCTCGGATGAGGGATCGGAAGACAATGGTTATTCAGGAGAGGAAGACAGCGGATCAGAAGAGGAGAGCAATGAAGAGGTCAAGGAGGGGGAAATGAATTCCTTAGAGAAGGCAAGAAACAGATATAGGTTTGGAGAAATGCAGTATTATCATAAGGAGATGTACAGTGGGGAGAACAAGTATTTGATACAATGCCGATTTTGCAGGTTTTCCTACTTACAAAGCATGTACAGGTCTGTAATTTTATCATAGGTACACTTCAACTGTGAGAGACGGAATCTAAAACAAAAATCCAGAAAATCACATTGTATGATTTTTAAGTAATGAATTTGCATTTTATTGCATAAGTATTTGATACATCCGAAAAGCAGAACTTAATATTTGGTACAGAAACCTTTGTTTGCAATTACAGAGATCATACGTTTCCTGTAGGTCTTGACCAGGATTGCACACACTGCAGCAGGGATTTTGGCCCACTCCTCCATACAGACCTTCTCCAGATCCTTCAGGTTTCGGGGCTGTCGCTGGGCAATACGGACTTTCAGCTCCCTCCATTGGGTTCTGGTCTGGAGACTGGCTAGGCCACTCCAGGACCTTGAGATGCTTCTTACGGAGCCACTCCTTAGTTGCCCTGGCTGTGTGTTTCGGGTCGTTGTCATGCTGGAAGACCCAGCCACGACCCATCTTCAATGCTCTTACTGAGGGAAGGAGGTTGTTGGCCAAGATCTCGCGATACATGGCCCCATCCATCATCCCCTCAATACGGTGCAGTCGTCCTGTCCCCTTTGCAGAAAAGCATCCCCAAAGAATGATGTTTCCACCTCCATGCTTCACGGTTGGGATGGTGTTCTTGGGGTTGTACTCATCCTTCTTCTTCCTCCAAACACGGCGAGTGGAGTTTAGACCAAAAAGCTCTATTTTTGTCTCATCAGACCACATGACCTTCTCCCATTCCTCCTCTGGATCATCCAGATGGTAATTGGCAAACTTCAGACGGGCCTGGACATGCGCTGACTTGAGCAGGTGGACCTTGCGTGCGCTGCAGGATTTTAATCCATGACGGCGTAGTGTGTTACTAATGGTTTTCTTTGAGACTGTGGTCCCAGCTCTCTTCAGGTCATTGACCAGGTCCTGCCGTGTAGTTCTGGGCTGATCCCTCACCTTCCTCATAATCATTGATGCCCCACGAGGTGACATCTTGCATGGAGCCCCAGACCGAGGGTGATTACTCCGTCATCTTGAACTTCTTCCATTTTCTAATAATTGCGCCAACAGTTGTTGCCTTCTCACCAAGCTGCTTGCCTATTGTCCTGTAGCCCATCCCAGCCTTGTGCAGGTCTACAATTTTATCCCTGATGTCCTTACACAGCTGTCTGTTCTTGGCCATTGTAGAGAGGTTGGAGTCTGTTTGATTGAGTGTGTGGACAGGTGTCTTTTATACAGGTAACGAGTTCAAACAGGTGCAGTTAATACAGGTAATGAGTGGAGAACAGGAGGGCTTCTTAAAGAAAAACTAACAGGTCTATGAGAGACGGAATTCTTACTGGTTGGTAGGTGATCAAATACTTATGTCATGCAATAAAATGCAAATTAATTACTTAAAAATCATACAATGTGATTTTTTGGATTTTTGTTTTAGATTCCGTCTCTCACAGTTGAAGTGTACCTATGATAAAAATGACAGACCTCTACATGCTTTGTAAGTAGGAAAACCTGCAAAATCGGCAGTGTATCAAATACTTGTTCTCCCCACTGTATACTTGGATGAATGAGGAGGAATGGAGGGGAAAAGAGAGGCAGAGGAGGTCTAAGAGAGAGATGGAGGTATCCAGGGTAAGAGTAGAGAAGAAGTTGTCATATGCGGAGGCAGTGAAGAAAGTAGAGGGAGATGGGTCAAGGGGGAGGGATCCTGAGAGAAATGGTGTGAGTAGTAGAGATGTACCAGTACAGAGGGATAAACCAAAAAGTGATATACAGTGAGGGAAAAAAGTATTTGATCCCCTGCTGATTTTGTACGTTTGCCCAATGACAAAGAAATGATCAGTCTATAATTTTTATGGTAGGTTTATTTGAACAGTGAGAGACAGAATAACAACAAAATAATCCAGAAAAACGCATGTCAAAAATGTTACAAATTGATTTGCATTTTAATGAGGGAAATAAGTATGACTCCCTCTCAATCAGAAATATTTCTGGCTCCCAGGTGTCTTTTATACAGGTAACGAGCTGAGATTAGGAGCACACTCTTAAAGGGAGTGCTCCTAATCTCAGTTTGTTACCTGTATAAAAGACACCTGTCCACAGAAGCAATCAATCAATCAGATTCCAAACTCTCCACCATGGCCAAGACCAAAGAGCTCTCCAAGGATGTCAGGGACAAGATTGTAGATCTTGGCTGGAATGGGCTACAAGACCATCGCCAAGAAGCTTGGTGAGAAGGTGACAACAGTTGGTGCGATTATTCGCAAATGGAAGAAACACAAAAGAACTGTCAATCTCCCTCGGCCTGAGGCTCCATGCAAGATATCACCTCGTGGAGTTGCAATGATCATGAGAACGGTGAGGAATCAGCCCAGAACTACACGGGAGGATATTGTCAATGATCTCAAGACAGCTGGGACCATAGTCACCAAGAAAACAATTGGTAACACACTACACTGTGAAGGACTGAAATCCTGCAGCGCCCGCAAGGTCCCCCTGCTCAGGAAAGCACATATACAGTCCCGTTGTCACGCCCTGGCTCTGGGGACACTGTTATGTTGAGCCAGGGTGTGTAGATCATGTGTTTTGTTTCTATGGGTGCTATTTCTATGTTGGCCAGAGTGGCTCCCAATCAGAGGCAACGAGTGTCAGGTGTTGCTGGGTGTCTCTGATTGGGAGCCATATTTAAACAGTCTGTTTTTCATTCGTGTTTGTGGGATTTTGTTTCTAGTCTGTTTATGGTAGACCGTGAACTGTCACGTATCGTTTGTTGTTTTGATCGTGTCTCTTAATAAAGAGTATGTTTGCCTGCAACGCTGCGCCTTGGTCCTCATCTGTTCCTGACGATCGTGACAGAAAATCCCACCACAACTGGACCAAGCAGCGAGTCGAGGAGCCATCGCCAGGGAAATCCCTAGCAGATCTCCGTGGCAGCCTCGACTGGGTCAAGCCGAGTGAAGAGCAGAGAGAGTGGACTTGGGAACAATGGAGGAAGAGCTTCGACTGGGTCAAGCCAATTGAGGAGCTGAATAGCGGGAATTGGAGGCAGAAGAGCGAGAGTTGGGCGAGAACTATAGAGGCCTGGCCCACGGGGAGGAGAGACCCCCAGAAAATTTTTAGGGGGGGGGCTCACGACGTCGGGGCAGCAGGAGGCCGCGATAGAGCGGTCCAGCGGGTTGGCAGAGGAGGCCGCCAGGTTACGGGGGCCACTGGTAGAAGAGGGGATGGAAGGTGTAGAGGCACGGCGAGAGGTACTGGGGTGTGTTACCAGTCCGGTCCGGCCCGTTCCAGATCCCGGTGTAGGGCCAGTGGTGTGTGTCCCCAGTACGGTCCGGTCTGTTCCTGCTCCCCGCACCAAGTCAGTGGTGCGCTTCGTCAGCCCGGCTCGGCCCGTTCCTGCTCCCCGCACCAAGTCAGTGGTGCGCTTCGTCAGCCCGGCTCGGCTCGTTCCTGCTCCCCGCACCAAGTCAGTGGTGCGCTTCGTCAGCCCGGCTCGGCCCGTTCCTGCTCCCCGCACCAAGTCAGTGGTGCGCTTCGTCAGCCCGGCTCGGCCCGTTCCTGCTCCCCGCACCAAGTCAGTGGTGCGCTTCGTCAGCCCGGCTCGGCCCGTTCCTGCTCCCCGCACCAAGTCAGTGGTGCGCTTCGTCAGCCCGGCTCGGCCCGTTCCTGCTCCCCGCACCAAGTCAGTGGTGCGCTTCGTCAGCCCGGCTCGGCCCGTTCCTGCTCCCCGCACCAAGTCAGTGGTGCGTTTCGTCAGCCCGGTTCGGCTCACTCCTGCTCCTCACACCAAGCCAGTGGTGTGCGTTGTCAGTCCAGCACGGCCCGTGCCTGTTCTCCACACCAAGCCAGTGGTGGGCGTCGTCAGTCCGGCACGGCCCGTGCCTGTTCCACTGGTGCCTGGTTCGGCACTGGTCAGATGTTTTACGCCGGAGCTAGAGCAATCCGCTCCATCAGTGTGCAGTCCAGCTCCGGCCAGCGGGGCCAGACCGGACCAGGGTACTTTGGGGGGTTGGAGAGGGAGCTGGGATCAGGCCCGGAGCCGGATCCGCCGCCTAGGCGGAGTGCCCACCCGGTCCCTCCCCTGTGGTATTTGGTTGACGCGGTCGGAGTCCGCGCCTTTAGGGGGGTTACTGTCACGCCCTGGCTCTGGGGACACTGTTATGTTGAGCCAGGGTGTGTAGATCATGTGTTTTGTTTCTATGGTTGCTATTTCTATGTTGGCCAGAGTGGCTCCCAATCAGAGGCAACGAGTGTCAGGTGTTGCTGGGTGTCTCTGATTGGGAGCCATATTTAAACAGTCTGTTTTTCATTTGTGTTTGTGGGATTTTGTTTCTAGTCTGTTTATGGTAGACCGTGAACTGTCACGTATCGTTTGTTGTTTTGATCGTGTCTCTTAATAAAGAGTATGTTTGCCTGCAACGCTGCGCCTTGGTCCTCATCTGTTCCTGACGATCGTGACACCCGTCTGAAGATTGCCAATGAACATCTGAATGATTCAGAGGAGAACTGGGTGAAAGTGTTGTGGTCAGATGAGACCAAAATCAAGCTCTTTGGCATCAACTCAACTCGCCGTGTTTGGATGAGGAGGAATGCTGCCTATGACCAAGAACACCATCCCCACCATCAAACATGGAGGTGGAAACATTATGCTTTGGGGGTGTTTTTCTGCTAAGGGGACAGGACAACTTCACCGCATCAAAGGGACGATGGACGGGGCCATGTACCGTCAAATCTTGGGTGAGAACCTCCTTCCCTCAGCCAGGGCATTGAAAATGGGTCGTGGATGGGTATTCGAGCATGACAATGACCCAAAACACACGGCCAAGGCAACAAAGGAGTGGCTCAAGAAGAAGCACATTAAGGTCCTGGAGTGGCCTAGCCAGTCTCCAGACCTTAATCCCATGGAAAATCTGTGGAGGGAGCTGAAGGTTCGAGTTGCCAAACGTCAGGCTCGAAACCTTAATGACTTGGAGAAGATCTGCAAAGAGGAGTGGGACAAAATCCCTCCTGAGATGTGTGCAAACCTGGTGGCCAACTACAAGAAACGTCTGACCTCTGTGATTGCCAACAAGGGTTTTGCCACCAAGTACTAAGTCATGTTTTGCAGAGGGGTCAAATACTTATTTCCCTCATTAAAATGCAAATCAATTTATAACATTTTTGACATGCGTTTTTCTGGATTTTTGTTGTTGTTATTCTGTCTCTCACTGTTCAAATATACCTACCATTAAAATTATAGACTGATCATGTCTTTGTCAGTGGGCAAACGTACAAAATCAGCAGGGGATCAAATACTTTTTTCCCTCACTGTATGGTTCAGCAAGATTGGATTTTTAGCGTTTATAGCAATGGTTATTAATTGTACTGCAGGGATGGAACGCAAATCGAAAGAAAATTGAGGTGGTGGTGGCAGCTGCAGAGAGATATTTGGGTGTGCGAGACTTGACAGCAGGTTGAGGGCATGAGGTAGGAGTGAGTGTATTTAAACAGTGGAGAAGGGTGGGGTTAAGTATTAGTTGTAGTGTTGAAGGTGTGAGTGTAGTGTTAGATGGTAGGATATTTATTTTCTTTGGTTTATTTTATTTTTCAAGGAAAGATAAGGGAGTTGTACTCCAGTCTAGTAGGTGGTGGTAATGCAACAAATTGGATGCCACCGCCGTTAAACCTCATTGAAGAAGAAGACTTTTAAAGGTTGAACATTTACATTTTTGTAGCCTCAATGACGCTTATAGAAGTGTATGAGTTCCACAACTTTGGTGAAATATGTAAATAATTAGTTATCAATTTTATAACAAATTATGTAATGTGCAAAAATACTCAAGGAAAATGTTAGTTTGCAATACACAAACTTAACATGATGAACAGGAATTACATTTACTCTCACAGGTGGCCCAAAATTACTATTTGAAAGCCACAGCCCTAATATGCCACACCTCCTGAAAATAACCTATGGATTACATTAAAAAAGACCTAGCTGCTGGGTCAACCCAACATGAAAGTCAACAAAAACCCAATTGATGATTAAATGAACCCATGTTTGGGTAATCCAACAACCCAATTGGCTAGGTTAAAATAACCTAGCATGTGTTCTGTCCAATATTTACCCAGCACTGGGTTACCAAATAACCCAAATGTTGTTGTTTTTAACCCAGCACTTTTTAGAGTGTAGGCCTAGTGTGGGTGGAGAGGTTGGAGGCTGGCCCATCCTCCTCCAGTTCTCCATTCAATTCTATTCATGCTCAGCTTGGTATAGCACTCTATCCACACAGCTCTGACACACACACACACACAACGGAATGAGTGAATAACAAACACATTGAGTGGATGAATATAAAACCATCACCACCACCACCACCCTGATTGACAATCAAACCATGTCAACTCACAGGTGTGATTGGTTAGCCTGGTTGGCCTCTCCCTCTCCGTCTCTCCCTCCTCATCCTCGTCTCCATCCTCTTCATCATCATCATCGTCGTCATCACTCTCGCCCAGTGCGACGGCGGGCCCCAGTGCCGCATTGCGGGGTGTGTGTTTTGGGGAGTATGTGTCCCCCTCACCATCGGGGCCCTCTGTGGCCCTCTGTTTCTCAGCCTCTCTTTCCAGGGCCTCGATCTCCAGCATGCGTCTCTCCAACAGCTCGGTCTGACGCTTCTGTTTTTTCTTCAACTTCTTCTTCTTGTTCTTAGAGATCTTCCCCACCTAGAGAAAAGGAGGGGGGAGAGGAGGAGGGGAGGAAAGGAGGAAGAGTCTATTAAAGTCACTGACTTACACTGACCCATAAGCTGAGTGACTAGAATTTGGTAGAAAACATTGTATATTCTGCTCTGAGGTTCATACAGAACATTGTGGTCCTCACCGGTTTGGCTTGTGGTGCTGTGCTGACTGTTGGGATGAAACAGAGTCACACAAGTCAGAGTCAGGAGAAAGTTCACCTTCAAACATATAATCTCCACACAGTCCTATAATAATAATAATATATACCCCTGAATAAGATAAGACCCCATTAAATTATTTATACCCTCTTACAGACTTCATACAGAATCTTTGGGTGAACTGTGAGTTGAATGGAGGATTTAATCAAAGTAATTTCAGACAGCTTTATTCCCTCGTCCTAGATCCATAGAAATCAACCCTTTTCTCCATGTGTTACGCAATGCCCACATACAGTACCAGTCAAAAGTGTGGACACACCTACTCATTGAAGGGTTTTTCTTTATTTTTACTATTTTCTACATTGTAGAATAATAGTGAAGACATCAAAACTATGAAATAACACATATCAATCATGTAGTAACCAAAAAAGTGTTAAACAAATCCAAATATATGTTATATTTGAGATTCTTCAAAGTAGCCACCATTTGCCTTTATTATATTTATTTTATTTCACCTTTATTTAACCAGGTAAGCCAGTTGAGAACAAGTTCTCATTTACAACTGCGACCTGGCCAAGATAAAGCAAAGCAGTGCGATAAAAACAACAACACAGATTTTTTTTTTTTTTTTTTTTTTTTTTTACATATGGAATAAACAAAAACGTACAGTCAATAACACAATAGAAAATAGAAAATCTATATACAGTGTGTGCAAATGTAGTAAGTTATGGAGGTAAGGCAATAAATAGGCCATAGTGCAAAATGATTACAATTTAGTATTAACACTGGAGTGATAGATGTGCAGAAGATGATGTGCAAATAGAGATACTGGGGTGCAAATGAGCAAAATAAATAACAATGTAAATAACAATATAGGGATGAGGTAGTTGGGTGGGCTAATTACAGATGGGCTGTGTACAGGTACAGTGATCGGTAAGCTGCTCTGACAACTGATGCTTAAAGTTAATGAGGGAGATAAGTGTCTCCAGTTTCAGAGATTTTTGTAGTCCGTTCCAGTCATTTGCAGCAGAGAACTGGAAGGAATGGCAGCCAAAGGAGGTGTTGGCTTTGGGGATGACCAGTGAGATATACCTGCTGGAGCGCATACTACGGGTGGGTGTTGCTATGGTGACCAATGAGCTAAGATAAGGCGGGGATTTGCCTAGAAGTGATTTATAGATTACCTGGAGCCAGTGGGTTTGGCGACGAATATGTAGTAAGGGCCAGCCAACGAGCGTACAGGTCACAATGGTGGGTAGTATATGGGGCTTTGGTGACAAAACGGATTGCACTGTGATAGACTACATCCAATTTGCTGAGTTGAGTGTTGGAAGCTATTTTGTAAATGACATCGCCGAAGTCAAGGATCGGTAGGATAGTCCGTTTTACGAGGGCATGTTTAGCAGCATGAGTGAAGGTGGCTTTGTTGCGAAACAGGAAGGTGATTCTAGATTTAACTTTGGATTGGAGATGCTTAATGTGAGTCTGGAAGGAGAGTTTACGGTCTAACCAGACACCTAGGTATTTGTAGAGTAGTGATTCTAGTCGGGCAGGCGGGTGTAAGCAGCGTTCGATTGAAGAGCATGCATTTAGTTTTATCTTCTGTATACCACCCCTACCTTGTCACAACACAACTGATGGGCTCAAACGCATTAAGAAGGAAAGAAATTCTACAAATTAACTTTTAACAAGGCACACCTGTTAATTGAAATGCATTCCAGGTGACTACCTCATGAAGCTGGTTGAGAGAATGCCAAGAGTGTGCAAAGCTGTCATCAAGGCAAAGGGTGGCTACTTTGAAGAATCTCAAATATAAAATATATTTTGATTTGTTTAACACTTTTTTGGTTACTACATCATTTCATATTTTATTTTTATTTTATTTAACCTTTATTTAACCAGGTAAGCCAGTTGAGAACAAGTTCTCATTTACAACTGCGACCTGGCCAAGATAAAGCAAAGCAGTGCGATAAAAACAACAACACAGAGTTACATATGGGGTAAACAAAACAAAGTCAAAAATACAACAGAAAATATATATACAGTGTGTGCGAATGTAGTAAGTTATGGAGGTAAGGCAATAAATAGGCCATAGTGCAAAATAGTTACAATTTCGTATTAACACTGGAATGATAGATGTGCAAAAGATTATGTGCAAATAGAGATACTGGGGTGCAAATTAGCAAAATAAATAACAATATGGGGATGAGGTAGTTGGGTGGGCTAATTTCAGAATGGCTGTGTACAGGTGCAGTGATCGGTAAGCTGCTCTGACATGTCACGATCGTCAGGGAGAGACCAATGCGCAGCGTGATGAATGAACATGTTTACTTTATTAAATTAAAGCACGAACAAAACAACAAACGACTCGTAACGTCCACGGTGACAATGACCGAACACGGAACAAAAACCCACAAACACAAAGTGAAAAACAGACAGTAAAATATGGCTCCCAATCAGAGACAACCAGCCAACAGCTGACACTCGTTGCCTCTGATTGGGAGTCACTAAGGCAAACATAGAAAACAACAAACCAGAACCCCCAACATAGAAATAAACCACATAGAATGAACAAACCCTGGCTCAACATATAGAGTCCCAGAGCCAGGGTGTGACAGTACCCCCCCCTAAAGGCGCGGACTGCGACCGCGCCTCAACCAGAGAAAAATAGGGGAGGGCTGGGTGGGCACTCCTCCTCGGCGGCGGTTCTGGCTCCGGCCTTGCCCACCACCCTCCAATAAACCCCCCATAGTGCCCCTGGTCCGGTCTGGCCCCGCTGGCTGGAGCTGACCTGGACGTAGCAGGAGCGGCTAGCTTCAGCTCCGTTGGGGAGCAATAAAGCGGTACCTGATTTGGCACCGATGACCCAGGCACGGGTTGTGCCGGACTGACGACGCGCACCCCAGGCTTGGTGCGTGAGGCAGGAAAGGACCGGACCTGGCTGTCGATGCGCACCCCTGGCTTGGTGCGTGGAGCAGCAACGGGCCGGACCGGGCTGACGATACGCACCCCTGGCTTGGTGCGTGGAGCCGGAACGGGCCTCACCGGACTGATGACTCGCACGTGGAGCAGCAACGGGCCGGACCAAGCTGACGATGCGCACCCCTGGCTTGGTGCGTGGAGCAGCGACGGGCCGGACCGGGCAGACGATACGCACCCCTGGCTTGGTGCGTGGAGCCGGAACGGGCCTCACCGGACTGACGACTCGCACCCCTGGCTTGGTGCGTGGAGCAGCAACGGGCCGGACCGGGCTGACGATGCGCACCCCTGGCTTGGTGCGTGGAGCCGGAACGGGCCTCACCGGACTGACGAAGCACACCACTGGCTTGGTGCGTGGAGGAGGAACGGGCCTTACCAGGCTGACGACGCACACCATAGGCTTGGTGCGTGGAGCAGGGACAGGCCGGACTGGGCTGACGAAGCGCACCACTGACTTGGTGCGGGGAGCAGGAACGGGCCGAGCCGGGCTGACGAAGCGCACCACTGACTTGGTGCGGGGAGCAGGAACAGACCGGACCGTACTGGGGACACACACCACTGGCCCTACACCGGGATCTGGAACGGGCCGGACCGGACTGGTAACACACCCCAGTACCTCTCGCCGTGCCTCTCCACCTTCCATCCCCTCTTCGACCAGTGGCCCCCGTAACCTGGCGGCCTCCTCTGCCAACCCGCTGGACCGCTCTATCGCGGCCTCCTGCTGCCCCGACGTCGTGAGCCCCCCCCCTAAAAAAATTCTGGGGGTCTCTCCTCCCCGTGGGCCAGGCCTCTATCGTTCTCGCCCAACTCTCGCTCTTCTGCCCCCAATTCCAGCCATTCTGCTCTTCATTAGGCTTGACCCAGTCGAGACTCTTCCTCCACTGTTCCCAAGTCCATCCACTCTGCTCTTTACAAGGCTGGACCCAGTCGAGGTTGCCACGGAGATCTGCAAGCGATTCCCCTGGCGATGGCTCCTGGACACGCTGCTTGGTCCAGTTTTGGTGGGTTTTTCTGTCACGATCGTCAGGGAGAGACCAATGCGCAGCGTGATGAATGAACATGTTTACTTTATTAAATTAAAGCACGAACAAAACAACAAACGACTCGTAACGTCCACGGTGACAATGACCGAACACGGAACAAAAACCCACAAACACAAAGTGAAAAACAGACAGTAAAATATGGCTCCCAATCAGAGACAACCAGCCAACAGCTGACACTCGTTGCCTCTGATTGGGAGTCACTAAGGCAAACATAGAAAACAACAAACCAGAACCCCCAACATAGAAATAAACCACATAGAATGAACACACCCTGGCTCAACATATAGAGTCCCAGAGCCAGGGTGTGACATGACAACTGATGCTTAAAGTTAGTGAGGGAGATAAGAGTCTCCAGCTTCAGAGATTTTTGCAGTTCGTTCCAGTCATTGGCAGCAGAGAACTGGAAGGAATGGCGGCCAAATGAGGTGTTGGCTTTGGAGATTCTATTGCATCTTAGCCTATGCCGCTTTGACAATGACATTGCTTGTCCATATCTTTATATATTCTTATTCCATTCCTTTACTTAGATTTGTGTGTATTAGGTATTTGTTGTGGAACTGTTAGATGTTACTTGCTAGATATTGCTGCACTGTCGGAACTAGAAGCACAAGCATTTCGCTACACTTGCAATAACATCTGCTAACCATGTGTATGTGACCAATACATTTGATTTGATTTCATAGTTTTGATGTCTTCACTATTATTCTACAATGTAGAAAATAGTACAAATAAAGAAAAACCCTGGAATGAGTAGGTGTGTCCAAACTTTTGACTGGTACTGTACATATAAGTCATCATCATTCCAGCCTGACTCATTGGTATGTGTGAGCAGTATGAGGATGTCTGGAACAACTCTTATTTCTGAAGTCAGTCATGGAATTACAGCTACTTAGAGCTGTCCAACTAAGAGGGTTCCTATTGGTTGAGCTGAGTGTGATTGACAGACAGCTCATGGGGGGGTTCATGAGGAGTTCATGAGGGGGTCATGACCCCTAGTCTTGACTACATCCATGTGATGTCGAGACTACATGACCCCTGACTGTCAGGGCACACACGTGACAGGAAGAACAAGTAGTAACGTTTCAGGGGGAAGTTGAAGGAACATAGGCCAAGACAATATGGGAATGTGAGTGGAAGCGTGCACTGGCCAGATAAGAATGCTTAACAACTCTGCATCCACCCTTTCCTCCTCTCTCCCCTTGCTAAAGGCACGTTTCTGTAACCACTCTCACGATCAGCTAGCTTTTAATGGAGCCACAAGCTCTCAAGCAATCTCTGTGCCTATCAAATCAAACTAGGAGAGAGCTCTCACCAAATTGATTGGTTGGCTCAGGCTGGCAAGCTGAAGCAACAAACTAAGAGACCGTCCAACTGATTGATTCATCTGATTGATTAATAGATTCCTTAATGGTGTGACAGCTGTACTGATACACAGCTGGACACTCCGGTTATCAGAACCGCCGATAGATGAATCTACTGCTAGTAGGATAGTGGTTAAAAACAGAGGGACAGAGACTTCCCTATACTAGCATTATACCTTGTCTTTAAGTAAGCAATTGGTCATAAGAATCAAACGGTTCATAATGGATATTACTCTCATGCCTCCTCTACAAAGAGTGCACTGTACTGATTCGACTAAGACTGACCCTCAAGTCAAGCAGCAACAGAGCTCTCTACACAGGTTTAGGGGAAAAACAGTCCTAAGTACTCTTTTTAAATATATCTGAAGACAGGCTTTATTCACTATTCACTGTTGGACTCTCAAAACACTTCAGTCTGAAATGAGGACAAGGCTACAATAACTAACTATTTGGATAACGCTTAGAGGGATAGTTCACCTTCAGTTTGTCAGATGGTTTAGGAAAAACTGTGATTTTGGGTGATAATTATTCTTTTAAACCTGCTATTTTCTTCTACAGACAGTGAGTGAGTGGGTGGGTGAGGTGGGCACTGAGCATTGCCCACTGGTCTGTACCTTACCTGCAGATCCAGAGGGCGGGGGCGCCCCAGCCTTCTGCCACTCTGTGGCCTCCACGGCCATGCGGCGGACAAACGTATCGTCCACACACATCAGGATGTTCTCTGGCTTGATGTCTGTGTGGATGATCTTACACTTGCTGTGGAGGTAGTCCAGGCCCTGCAGAACCTGCATGAACACAGGAACACAAGCGTGCACAAATGCGCGCACACACACACACAAACACAGACACACGTGCAAGCAAACACAAATACACACACACAAATCACAGATTAAACACACACTCTCAACGCTAAATTAACCATTCTTTTGATCTTAGTCATCCTCCATCGGGGACAAGGCTGCTGTTGTTTTTTTGTTTGGTGTGTGTGTGTGCGCACGTGCGCGTGTGCATGTGTGTGTTTGCCAGTGTTTGATTTCAGGGGCTTTGCATTGAAGTTGAGAACAGTTTCTATTCACATTCAGTGGGCTTTTCAAGTGGGAGGCAGCAGCGGCTTATTTGCTTGAGCAGCAGCGGAGATGAACGGATAAGTTGAATTCACATGCTGCTCTGCTCTTCAGGGGAAGGGGAAAGGCCTTGTGAAGTCAACAACATGTACTGTACTGGACTGGCCTGCAGTAGTGCCTCTGGCTGGCAATATCACTGGTCTTCCTCTCTGTGTTGGTGCTAATAAAGAGTGTTTATGGAAGTGAAAGTGATGTGTGCATGTGAATGTGTCTGAGTCAAGTAAATGAGGATGTGTGAGTGTGTGCTTGCGTGTGTGAGTTTGTGTTAGTGCTTTTTGAGGTCGGTTCGGTTTCGGTTCGATTATTTAAAAAATAATCATGGTTTTGGATTTCGATTATAAAAAAACAACATTAAATGCACTATGAATTATGTGGGTTGAATACTGTAACAACACAGAATAAAACAATTAATAAAATCCTATGATGGTAGTGACTGCCCATTACTGGTTATCACTTATTAACCATCATGTATTCACATTACTTTAATAAAATATTTCAGTTGTGTATAATATTATTGTTTTATTTGATGAATTTATTATTTAATTCCAAGTCATCATCTCATCTCTAGAGATGCTGCCTATGCTGTCTGACAGAATCACTATTTTAGTAGTTCTTCAAAGTAAATAAGGCATACTTTTATGACTGCTGAATACCAACTATAAATGACTTAGATCATTTATTTTCAGGTAGAGATACCCCGCAAAGCAACTGCTCTCTATCCCTCTCGCGTGTTCTACTGCCTCTTCCCTCCCTTTCCATGTCTGCCCCACATAGACCAGACAAGTAGGCTCGCAATGGAGTATGGTCATTGTAGTTAATTACCACGTTTTCTGCGCTAAACTATGTAGAATATTGGCCTGTTGGAAACTACAAATCCCTACTACATTGCACAGTTCAGGTTGGATCTGAATTTTCTAGAGAAACTGTGCATTGAGCTCCCAGAAAAGAAAAAAAAAAAAGAAATGGAATTCAAATCATTGAACTGACGTCGTCAATTAGTTGTTTAAAAACCATTTAGGTTAATCGCTCAAATCAAATCAAATTTTATTTGCCACATGCGCCGAATACAACAAGTGTAGACCTTACAGTGAAATGTTTACTTACAAGCCCTTAACCAACAATGCAGTTTTAAGAAAAAAAAAAAAAGTGTTAAGTAAAAAATAGATAAGTAAAAAAAAAAAAAAATTTTTTTTAATGAACAGCAGTAAAATAAAATAACAGTAGGGAGGTTATATACAGGGGGTACCGGTACAGGGTCAATGTGTGGGGGCACCGGTTAGTCAGCACTAGTGTGTGCGTGCATTTGTGTGGCATACCTGTTTGATAATACTCTTAACACAGGGAAGAGGAAGGCCCTGGTAGTTGGACTTGATGATCCACTTTAGAAGGTGGTGTCCCAGAACCTCAAACACCATACACACATCTGGGACAGCTGGTCAAGGAGGACCACAGCTTAATCATTGAGATACATACACAGATATAAAGAGCTCACACACACACACACACACACACCCTCTGTAGACAAGGATACGTATTCCGTTGATTCCAGAGATCTTGAAGTCATCTATCAGCTGAACCACCATTTCTTTGTTTTGGTCAGAGGGGTCACTCTCTCTCACCTGGAGATGAACGACAAAAAATAGAGAGATCAGGACGGAGGGTGTGAGAGAGAGGTGTGAGAGGCATGGGGAAATGAAGCACACACACACACACACACACACACACAGAGAGAGTCGCTACTCACACATCTGAGCAGTTTGATCTCATCCAGGGCTGTCTCTGTGTAGTGCTGAGCACTTTTCACCACCTTCATCGCCACAAAGTTCTTCACCCTGAAACAACAAACACATAACACACAGTGAGATCCATATCACAACATGATGGACTACAGCAGAGCTAGCCATGCAACACTGGAGTTGAACGAATCAATCACAGATTAGGGAAAAACACACTGCTGAGGAAGATGTTTATTGGTAATGGTTTCATATCCAATAACAATGTCCATGTGAGTGAGGAACAGCGTACAGTGTATGATTGTGCAATTGATTTAATTGGAGCTAAGTGAGTATATGTACGAGCTGTGCGATGTAACCTAGTGAAAGGTGATATTCTGACACTGCAGCTGCTACTGTGTCACTGTGTAGGAGTGGTTTTGTTGCAGCCGTTGTCATGGCGATGAGTTGGTAACCGTGTTGACCCGTCTGCCTCCCGTTGACAGGTATGTGTGTGTGTGAGACTCACTGAATGTCCCAGCACAGCCATACGGTGGAGAAGTGACCCCAGCCCAGCTTGCGGATCACATGGTACCTCCCGTTGAACAAGTCCCCTATCTTCACCGGATGGTATCCACCTGAGAGAGAGAGAGAGAGAGAGCGAAAGAGAAAGAGTGAGATACTGTTAGAAAAAGAGAGAGGAGTGAACATAGATAATCAAGATACTGATACTTCGAGCCAGGCTACTGAAACTATGCCATCAGTAGGAGGGAGGGAGTGAGAGAGGATTAAGAAAGAGAGAAAGACAGAGAAAGGGAGATAGTGGAAAAAAGATAGAGAGAGAAAGAAAGAGAGAGAGAGGAATAGAGAGATAGAGAGAGAAAGAGTCACAGCGACAGTGTCTTCTCTTCAGTCTCAAGCCAGTCCTATGTGAGAAGGTCCTCAGTAGGTCCTCACAGCTATCAGGATATCAGGCTCCTCAGTAGAGACCACTCCCTCTTGGCACAGACAACAACCTTGAGCCTTGGTGCTGGTGCCAAGCATATAGAGCTTCTGGCTAGTCACACTGCTGCAAATGACATTTGGAGCCAGCAGGGATGATATAAGAGATAGAGTAAGAGGTAGAGAAAGGAGAAGAAGAGATGGGCTTAAGTGTATTGGAGTGTGGGTAAAGGCGTCCGCATGCTTCCCAGCCGAAACAGTTTGGAAAGGTTTGTGCATACAGTTTAAGTCGGAAGTTTACATACACTTAGGTTTGAGTCATTAAAACTCGTTTTTCAACCACTCCACAAATGTATTGTTAACAAACTATAGTTTTGGCAAGTCGGTTAGGACATCTACTTTGTGCATGACACAAGTAATTCTTCCAACAATTGTTTACAGATAGATTATTTCACTTATAATTCACTGCATCACAATTCCAGTGGGTCAGAAGTTTACATACACTAAAGTGCCTTTAAACAGCTTGGGAAATGATCTCACTTCAATAAATTTTAATAGAAAGTTAGCAAAAATAGATAAGATCTTACTACCATGGAAAGGAAAATACCTGTCAATTTGTGGAAAAATCACACTGATTAACTCTTTAGTATTATCCCAGTTTACCTATTTGATTATGGTCTTGCCTACGCCTAGCGAACAGTTTTTTAAATTATATGAGAAAAAAATATTCAATTTTATTTGGAACGGCAAGCCAGACAAAATTTAAAGAGCATATTTATATAATGAATATGAATTCGGAGTACAGAAATTATTAAATATTAAAGCATTAGACCTATCACTAAAAGCTTCAGTCATACAAAAGTTATACTTAAATCCGAACTGGTTCTCAAGCAAATTAGTAAGATTGTCTCACCCAATGTTCAAGAAAGGCCTTTTTCCCTTTATTCAGATTACAACCTCTCACTTTCAGTTATTTGAAAAGGAAATAATCTCCCAAATGTCACTATTTCTAAAACAAGCTATAGAAAGTTGGTTGCAATTTCAATTTAATCCTCCAGAAACGACAGAACAAATAATGCAACAAATATTGTGGTTAAATTCAAATATACTAATTGACAAAAAACCTCTATTTTTTGACAGAATGTTTAAAAAAGGTATAATCTTCGTAAATGATATCATCGGTAGGACTGGTGGAGTTATGACGCACATGCAGCTAACAAAAACATATGGAAATGTCTGCTCTACCCAAAATTACAACCAAATAATTGCAGCCTTACCGCAAAAGTGGAAGAGGAAAGTGGAAGGGGGAGAAAGTAAGGAACTTGTCTGTCGGCCTTGCATTAACGAACATAATTGGTTAAGGAAAACTGTGATAAATAAAAAAGTATATCAGTTTCACTTAAGGACCAAAGGATTGACAGCCGTCCCATATAGATTGCAAAATAGTTGGGAAGAGATCTTTGACGTACCGATCCCATGGCATAGTGTTTATGAACTGACACGCAAAACGACACCGGATTCAAAAATTGGAATCTTTCAATTTAAATTATTATATAAAATTCTTGCTACCAATAGAATGTTATTTACAGTGGGGAAAAAAAGTATTTAGTCGGCCACCAATTGTGCAAGTTCTCCCACTTACAAAGATGAGAGAGGCCTGTAATTTTCATCATAGGTACACATCAACTATGACAGACAAATTGAGAAAAAAAAATTCCAGAAAATCCCATTGTAGGATTTTTAATGAATTTATTTGCAAATTATGGTGGAAAATAAGTATTTGGTCACCTACAAACAAGCAAGATTTCTGGCTCTCACAGACCTGTAACTTCTTCTTTAAGAGGCTCCTCTGTCCTCCACTCGTTACCTGTATTAATGGCACCTGTTTGAACTTGTTATCAGTATAAAAGACACCTGTCCACAACCTCAAACAGTCACACTCCAAACTCCACAATGGCCAAGACCAAAGAGCTGTCAAAGGACACCAAAAACAAAATTGTAGACCTGCACCAGGCTGGGAAGACTGAATCTGCAATAGGTAAGCAGCTTGGTTTGAAGAAATCAACTGTGGGAGCAATTATTAGGAAATGGAAGACATACAAGACCACTGATAATCTCCCTCGATCTGGGGCTCCACGCAAGATCTCACCCCGTGGGGTCAAAATGATCACAAGAACGGTGAGCAAAAATCCCAGAACCACACGGGGGGACCTAGTGAATGACCTGCAGAGAGCTGGGACCAAACTAACAAAGCCTACCATCAGTAACACACTACGCCGCCAGGGACTCAAATCCTGCAGTGCGAGACGTGTCCCCCTGCTTAAGCCAGTACATGTCCAGGCCCGTCTGAAGTGCATTTGGATGATCCAGAAGAGGATTGGGAGAATGTCATACGGTCAGATGAAACCAAAATATAACTTTTTGGTAAAAACTCAACTCGTCATGTTTGGAGGACAAAGAATGCTGAGTTGCATCCAAAGAACACCATACCTACTGTGAAGCATGGGGTTGGAAACATCATGCTTTGGGGCTGTTTTTCTGCAAAGGGACCAGGACGACTAATCTGTGTAAAGGAAAGAATGAATGGGGCCATGTATCGTGAGATTTTGAGTGAAATCCTCCTTCCATCAGCAAGGGCATTGAAGATGAAACGTGGCTGGGTCTTTCAGCATGACAATGATCCCAAACACACCGCCCGGGCAACGAAGGAGTGGCTTCGTAAGAAGCATTTCAAGGTCCTGGAGTTGCCTAGCCAGTCTCCAGATCTCAACCCCATAGAAAATCTTTGGAGGGAGTTGAAAGTCTGTGTTGCCCAGCGACAGCCCCAAAACATCACTGCTCTAGAGGAGATCTGCATGGAGGAATGGGCCAAAATACCAGCAACAGTGTGTGAAAACCTTGTGAAGACTTACAGAAAACGTTTGACCTGTGTCATTGCCAACAAAGGGTATATAACAAAGTATTGAGAAACTTTTGTTATTGACCATCTACTTATTTTCCACCATCATATGCCAATAAATTCATAAAAAATCCTACAATGTGACTTTCTGGATTTTTTTTCTCATTTTGTCTGTCATAGTTGACGTGTACCTATGATGAAAATTACAGGCCTCTCTCATCTTTTTAAGTGGGAGAACTTGCACAATTGGTGGCTGACTAAATACTTTTTTCCCCCACTGTATATGGGGGATACAATCTTCCCAGCTCTGCAGATTTTGCTGTGAAGAGACAGAATCATTAGATCATTTGTTTTGGTTCTGTCCATTTGTAGCTTGTTTTTGGACACAGGTCCAGGAATGGCTAAAGGATTGCAATATTCACCTGGAACTAACCTTGCAGATAGCATTACTGGGTGATCTGAAAAGTCATAGTCAATCAATCAATAATATAATAATACTTTTAGCAAAAAAAAATATTTTTAATTCACAATCTGTAGAAGCAATGAGAATAGAAAGGTTCAGAACTTTTGTAAAACATCACAGTACGGTTGAAATATATATGGCAAATAGAAATCCTATATGGATGGTGTTAAGAGATCGATGGGAGGTATTGAATAGAGTTGAAGGATGGGACTAATAATAAATAACAACAAATAATAACAAAGATAGCTAATAATGTAAGCATACTGTGTCCATAATAGGTATATAGGTTGTATGTTGGGAGCTTTTGGGAAAGAGCACAGTTAGAAAGATATGGCATATAGAAGCAAACCGGATGGACATCATGAAAATGATCGGAGAGGTTGAGAGTAGAAGAAGTTCAGGAGCAAAAAAATATATATATATAAAAAAAAATATATATATATATATATATATATATATATAATAGAATTATTGTAAAATTAACTCTGTCCATAAGGTGTAGATAGTAAGTATAGACCGGAAGTAGAGGCCTGGGCATTGTTGTTCACTAATTTACTCCAAGTAGGAAAAGGATGGTGGGGTTGAAAAGTAATAAAGGGGAGTATATATATATAAAAAAAATAAAAAAAAACATGGGGGATTGGAAGTGATGCAGACAATTACATTGATAGAAGATACAATCTATCTGCAATATTAAGCTGATCCATTCCCCCTAAAGAAAAAAAAACAACAAAAAAAAAACAACAGAAAAAACAGAAAAAATTCCAGAAAATGATGTCATGGCTTTAGAAGCTTCTGATAGGCTAATTGACAATTGGAGGTGTACCTGTGGATGTATTTCAAGGCCTACCTTCAAACTCAGCGTCTCTTTGCTTGACATCATGGGAAAATCAAAAGAAATCAACCAAGACCTCAGAAAAAAATGGTAGACCTCCACTAGTCTGGTTCATCCTTGGGAGCAATTTCCAAACGCCTGAAGGTACCACGTTCATCTGTACAAACAATAGTACGCAAGTATAAACACCATGGGACCACGCAACCGTCATACCGCTCAGGAAGGAGACACGTTCTGTCTCCTAGATATGAACATACTTTGGTGCGAAAAGTGCAAATCAATCCCAGAACAACAGCAAAGGACCTTGTGAAGATGCTGGAGGAAACAGGTACAAAAGTATCTATATCCACAGTAAAACGAGTCCTATATCGACATAACCTGAAAGGCCACTCAGCAAGGAAGAAGCCACTGCTCCAAAACCGCCATAAAAAAGATAGACAACGGTTTGCAACTGCACATGGGGACAAAGATCGTACTTTTTGGAGAAATGTCCTCTGGTCTGATGAAACAGACCAGAGGACCATAATGACCATCGTTATGTTTGGAGGAAAAAGGGGGTTGCTTGCAAGCCCAAGAACACCATCCCAACCGTGAAGCACGGGGGTGGCAGCATCATGCTGTGGGGGTGCTTTGCTGCAGGAGGGACTGGTGCACTTCACAAAATACACGGCATCATGAGGAAGGAAAATGATGTGGATATATTGAAGTAACATCTCAAGACATCAGTCAGGAAGTTAAAGCTTGGTCGCAAATGGGTCTTCCAAATGGACAATGACCCCAAGCATCCTTCCAAAGTTGTGGCAAAATGGCTTAAGGACAACAAAGTCAAGGTATTGGAGTGGCCATCACAAAGCCCTGACCTCAATCCTAGAGGAAATGTGTGGGCTGAACTGAAAAAGCGTGTGCGAGCAAGGAGGCCTACAAACCTGACTCAGTTACACCAGCTCTGTCAGGAGAAATGGGCCAAAATTCACCCAACTTATTGTGGGAAGGTTGTGGAAGGCTACCCAAAACGTTTGACCCAAGTTAAACAATTTAAAGGCAATGCTACCAAATACTAATTGAGTGTATGTAAACTTCTGACCCACTGGGAATGTGATGAAATAAATAAAAGCTGAAATAAATCACTCTCTACTATTATTCTGACATTTCACATTCTTAAAATAAAGTGGTGATCCTAACTGACCTAGGACAGCGAATCTTTACTAGGATTAAATGTCAGGAATTGTGAAAAACTGAGTTTAAATGTATTTGGCTAAGGTGTATGTAAACTTCCGACTTCAACTGTATATTCTTCAATAAAGTCTTTGTTGTCATTCAACGAGAGACGACTACTTTTCATGCACATTTTTTCTTTGAGAAATACTGCACATCTTAGTTAGATGTAAAATTGTGTGACTAAGATCTCCTCTGCAAAAATGTCAAAATTAGTAACAGATTTCTTTAGTTATTTTAGATTAATTCTGACAATTTTGATGAGCGTATACTGGCTACGGCGTCTCAAGATGGACAAAGTACTATTGCTGCTTTTTTCTCATTTTTCAAGTGCACATCTTTTAAGGGAGTATGCGAGCTCACTCGTTCGGTTAGCCGAGTACGTCTAGGCGCCAGCCGAACTGAATCATGCTGAAACCTTAAGTGAGTGTGTCTAGGGAGGGGGGTGTATGCGGGCATGTGTGAGAACGAGAGGAGAAAGACAGAGTGTATGCAAGAGGTAGACAGGTAGAGAGGTAGAGAGGTAAAGAGGTAAGAGGTAGAGAGGTAGAGAGGTAAAGAGGTAAAGAGGTAGAGAGGTAGAGAGGTAGAGAGGTAGAGAGGTAGAGGTAAAGAGGTAGAGGTAAAGAGGTAGAGAGGTAAGAGGTAGAGAGGTAGAGAGTGAGGTAGAGAGGTAGAGGTAGAGTAGAGGTAAGGTAGAGGTAAGAGGTAGAGGTAAGAGGTAGGGTAGAGGTAGAGGTAGAGAGGAAGAGGTAGAGAGGTAGAGGTAGAGAGGTAGAGGTAGAGAGGTAGAGAGGTAGAGAGAGGTAGATGAGGTAGAGAGGTAGGGTAAGATAAGAGGTAGAGAGGTAGAGGTAGAGAGGTAGAGAGGTAGAGAGGTAAAGAGAGAAAGAGAGAAAGGGGGAGGAGATAAGAGTTAAGAAGACAGAACTTGGTACTTGTGTATGCATGTATAAGCTATGTAAGTTATACACGTGTGTGCATGCATGGATGCGTTCATGCGTGGGTTTGTGAGTGTGTGTTATCTCCCCCCACCTTTGCAGTAGTCTGCGGGGTCCTCCTGCTCCTCATCGTCAGAGCCTAGGATCTCCTCCTCTGGCTCTGGGGGGACGGCCGGCTCAGGGGGGGCTGGAGGGGGAGGCGGGGGAGTGGGGGCAGACACAGGGGCTTTTTGCTGGGTCTCAGGCCTGACAGAGAGAGAGAGAGAGAGAGAGAGAGAGAGAGAGAGAAATACTGTTAGAACCTGAATTGGTTAGGGTAGGAACGACCCTTTGCGCTTACAACATACCAACACGCAATTACCCTAGAATCATCACTGCAGTCGAACATGCATAGCTGAATGCCATTTCTCTTTAAGACCTGATTCCATCCCGGAGCCCATCCCCTATCCCTTTCCCTAGCCTTTGGTGTTCTCAGATCTGAAAGGATTGGAAATGGAACTAGGCCCATGAGGAAGAGAAGATATACATGTCTGCTGTATTTTTATGACTTTAGTATCTTATCAATAAGACAGTGTGTGACTTCTCTTCCCCCTGTGAAAAGTCTGAATTAGACATTAGAGGAGCCTTGTGTTGTCCTATCTAGCTGTATTAGACATTAGAGGATCCTTGTGTTGTCCTATCTAGCTGTATTAGACATTAGAGGAGCCTTGTGTTGTCCTATCTAGCTGTATTAGACATTAGAGGAGCCTTGTGTTGTCCTATCTAGCTGTATTAGACATTAGAGGAGCCTTGTGTTGTCCTATCTAGCTGTCCTCTAACATCTAGGACAACACAAGGCTCGAAGACGTGGATGTCGATTAAGGCAGCCCTCCGCACCTCTCTGATTCAGAGGGGTTGGGTTAAATGCGGAAGACAAATTTCAGTTGAATGCATTCAGTTGTACAACTGACAAGGTATCCCCCTTTCCCATTTCCTTTCCTCCAGCGTCTAATACAGCATAGCATTCTGCAGGACAACATAGGCACTTAGCATTGAGATTCCTGCAGTCATACACGCGCACTTACAAACACAGAGACACATATAGCTTACTGTAAATATGGTACTGGAACTGACCCTGTAATTAGCTTGCTGTAAATATGGTACTGGAACTGACCCTGTATATAGCTTACTGTAAATATGGTACTGGAACTGACCCTGTTTAAAGCTTACTGTAAATATGGTACTGGAACTGACCCTGTATATAGCTTACTGTAAATATGGTACTGGAACTGACCCTGTATATAGCTTACTGTAAATATGGTACTGGAACTGACCCTGTATATAGCTTACTGTAAATATGGTACTGGAACTGACCCTGTATATAGCTTACTGTAAATATGGTACTGGAACTGACCCTGTTTAAAGCTTACTGTAAATATGGTACTGGAACTGACCCTGTATATAGCTTACTGTAAATATGGTACTGGAACTGACCCTGTTTAAAGCTTACTGTAAATATGGTACTGGAACTGACCCTGTATATAGCTTACTGTAAATATGGTACTGGAACTGACCCTGTTTATAGCTTACTTACTTCTCATGTTCTTCTTATTTCTATTTCTCGTTGGTTTTTGTTCTACCTTGTTATTTTTAGTGCTACATTGACATTGATTACTGCATTGTTGGGTTTGGAGCTTGCAAGAAAGGCATTTCACTGTACTTGTGCATGTGACATTAAAACTTGAAACACACACACACACACACACACACACACACACACACACACACAATACAATTAGGCTATATATTCATACACACTCATACACACTCCATGCTTGGATCTGTTCCCTTGCAGCAGGATGGTCCTTAACCAAAACAGTTGTGTACTGTATCATAGATCACTTCCACAGGCTCAGTGCTTTCATGCACACACACACACCTAGCCACAATAACTCTGAGCCCACTCTATAGCAGTAGCCAGCCTACTTCAGTGTGTCTGTGTACATGTATGTGTGTATTGGTGCATTGAAATGTGTGTGGATATATGTGTGTGTGTGTCACAGGAGGTTGGTGGCACCTTAACTGGGGAGGACACGCTCGTGGTAATGGTTGGAGCGGAATAAGTGGAATGGTATCAAATACATCAAACACATATTTTCCATGTCTTTGATGCCATTCCATTTGCTCCATTACAGCCATTATTATGAGCCGTCCTCACCTCAGCAGCCTCCACTGGTGTGTGTAATGTGTATGTGTGTGTTCATTCATACTGTAGGGAACAATGTACATCCTAGAACACACACACACACACACACACGGGTGTGTGTTTGTGTGTCTATCGCAGCACTATGACCACTCATACACATAACAGCAACAACAGAACCAGAGTGTTTCTGAGTGCATGGAAAGCCCGTGTTTAACAACAAGAGCAACAAGGCAGGAACTAACTCTTAGGATGCGTTCCAAATTGCACCCTATTCCCTATATAGTGCATTACTTTTGACCAGGGCCCATCAACAGTAGTGCACTATGTAGGGAATAGGGTGCCATTTGGGACACATCCTTAGACAAAGCAGCTGATTCAGAGGGGTTGGGTTAAATGCGGAAGACACGTTTCAGTTGAATGCATTCAGTTGCGCAACTGACTAGGTATCCCCCTTTCACAGAGCTAATCACTGGCTGCCATTCTCCTCATTGCAGACATGCCAGTCCAGGCTGTAGTAAACTGACACAGCAGCAAGGGGGTACATTTTTTGGGGCACTGAGCAAATTTTAGGCATTGTGAGCGGAAACCTGAACGTTGTGAGGATTTTGTGCAACTTCCGGCGCGCGTTTACAGTGAACACTGAGGCTGTACTCTTACAGTTTTAGACAGTAGCTAATAGGCTATTGTGGCTATTTAAGCACAATGTAGGCCTACCAACAAAACCAATGGAGCAAATCCCATAACATTTTCACATGGAAATAGCTTTTGAATTATATGATCTAGCCTACAGTAGCCTGTATGTGGTGTTCAGTGCAGGCCTACATTGCATGAGACTTTTAAAAACGTTTTTACATTATGAAGGGCTTGACATTAATTTATGATTTTTTTACTTGGTCTGTAACACCATGGGCCAAATAGGTGACTGTAAATTGCATTTTATTGTGTTATATGATGCAAGAAACCACTTTAGAAAATAAAAGTCATTATTATTACCATTCAGAGAATTAGACAATGTAGGCTATCCCTCTGCCTATTGGCTTATTTGCATATTCAAGCATGTCTCAAAATACAACACTGCCCATTTCATTACGACATAAGCTTTTTACCTGACTGACTTTTCAAAGAATTGTAGCTTACATGTGTTGTGCTCTCGTAGGAAGCAGTAACTCCCCGGCTCTGCGCTCTGATCTGAACTGATCTGAAAAGCGCATTCACTTGCTGGTGATTGAAAGGCAGGAGCAACCCCTGCCAATAGAATTCTACTCTGTTGCGCTCTGGTTCTGCCTACAACAAAATCACAGACTCAACCTTTCAAAGTTAGATTTGTTTTGGTTTGTTGCATTGAAAAGGGGCTGATATAATGTTGATTCGATCACATAAAAAACTATCTATATAGTGCAAACTAAATGGGGCGAACTCAGAAGTTCAATCTCTTGCGTCTCTGCGTGGCCTGGCATTTCTTCTGTGAGCGGTAGTCCTGGAGGAGGTGCGCGCCGCGCACACGAGGGAACATTTGGGATAACCCTGGTTTCTTTTTCCTCAGGACAAATGCATTAACTAACACTTTGTTTCGGGGCTTAACAGGGCTGTTGGTTTCTAGATGGTTAAGTGTCACAAGCAGTGTAATTATGTAAGGGATAATCAATGAGCGGGCTATGCTTTCTATGGAAAATAATGAATGATGTGGAAGGTGTGTTCCATAACGTGCTAGCGGAGTAGAACTGACCTTCCACAGAGTTGCATTATTTTCCAGAGAATGCATAGAGCCCAGAGTTCATTATCCCTTTTATACCATGGCTATTATTTAACTCATTTGCTGGTAGAAATGTGTTCAACATCCACTGAAGTAGCTAGCAAGTTTACTAGATAGCTACAGTAGTTACCATGGTAACTAAACAAACATACTTGCTAGTTTAGTAAACCAAACCACCAGTCCCAGCTTGCTATTATGAAAATCGAATTCAACAATACGGCAGGTAGCTTAGTGGTTAAGTGGTTAAGAGCGTTGTGCCAGTAACCGAAAGGTCGCTGGTTCTAATCCCCGAGCCAACTAGGTGAAAAATCTGTCGATGTGCCCTTGAGCAAGGCACTTAACCCTAATTGCTCCTGTAAGTCGCTCTGGATAAGAGCGTCTGCTAAATGACAAAAATGTAAATGTAAATAATGTTTTCAATTCGATTTTTGCTTTCGAAAGCAGTTCAAACAAAACATGTAAGAACGAACTATAGCCATTGAATTCTTCTGTGCAGATATACTGTGCATAATAGGGAATTATAAACTGGGTGGTTCGAGCCCTGAATGCTGATTGGCTGACAGCAGTGGTATATCAGACCGTATACCACGGGTAAGCCAAAATATTTATTTTTACTGCTCTAATTATGTTGGTAACCAGTTTATAATAGCAATAAGGCACCTCGGGGGTTTGTGGTATATGGCCAATATACCACGGCTAAGGGCTTCACGTGTGTGTGTGACCATGTGTGTGTAAACAACGCCCTGTGTGGTATGTCCTGTAAGTGTGTTTGTGTGTGTGTGTGTGTTGAGCAGGTCCACAGCACCACCCCCCGCACCCCATTTCGTGAACTAACATTCACACTTGCCTCTTTCCCCCCCTTACTAGCTCTGACTTTGCTGCTAGCTACTTTATTGGGGAAAAATGTACTTACTATGACTGAGATATGTGGTTGTCCCACCTAGCTACCTTAAGATGAATGCACTAACTGTAAGTTGCTTTTCTTTAACGAGTCCGACGCAAAGGATATACTGCTTTCTCTGGAACGGGCCCAAATCCCCATCATTTGTGTGAAAAAAAGACGGAGAAAATGGGGCCGGAGGTCGGACTGCCTTGTGCCTTCTGAGAATTCGTAGGCGAGT